GCCTGGACTGGGTAGTATTTGAAATGTGGATAGAAATGAGATGTTGATATCCTAAGACATAAAGGAAACCATTTATTAGATACAAAAACACTCACTGCAGTGGCGCCGGGGATCTGCGCTGCAATAACTTCCTTGTTTGCATCAGAGGTAGGTAGGTCAGGATTGGGGGGATTACCAAGATCCGGCACCGGTTGAATTGGACCATGATTGTGACCAATGCAAACATGCACGAGAGTCCAGAGTTTGCTTGTTGTATCATATTGGGCTGTAAGGCGGAACGGGCATTCAATCTTGATCGATCTAGTGACTCTAGTGAACGGTGGTTGATTTGGCTCTGTAGTGTTGCCAACATTTGTCCTTGGTTTGGGTTTGGAAGGTTTTCCACCTCGATGACACTCGTAATGACAGATGTTGCAGTTGTCTTTTGAGGAATGCGCGATGTTGATCTTGTAGCCGTGGGGAATTGGAAACCCCTTAACATACTTGTCCAACTCCACGCGGTCTCCATTGTGAGCCAGCATCTGGGTCTCAGCAGGAGCCGGTAGAACTATGAGCGGAGCAGAGGCCATATTGAACAAGTGAGTCAAAGAATGCTGGTTGTGGGGTGGTGAGGTGGTGGAGAGAGGCGCGTGGGAAAGGTGGTGAGGTGGTGAGCCGTTGATTTAACTTGTGGGCTTATGTATAACTCGTGACTGATGGATTGGTGACTTGTGGGGTGATGAGATCAGCGGATCAGTCAACTTGTGGGATGGTGAGATCCCAGGTTGACTGATCCGTTGGTGGACTGGCGGGACCGACAACTTGTGACTTCAGATGACCCGACCATGGAAGCTACATATGTACTTCAACTTGAAACGGGTTTCTCAGGCATGCCATAAAAGATTGGTTATCAAATTTGTGTAGGCAAAGGGTATCAGCAAACGTTATAACAAAATTCAAAATCTCCAAAAGGGTGGTTGTTCATGATCCAGGTTACATAAATCAACAACTGCTTATATTGCTTTGTTTTGATATGGGTAACAAACTATTTGATTGGAAGAGACAAAATGGAGTGAGATAGAAATATAGAACCTTTTTTTGGGAAAAATCGCATTGAATCTAAATTTTGTACTCAATGAAAACTAAATTAAATAACACAACAGCCTAGAATACACTACATTTGATACTTGTATTACTGTGTATCTTTTGGCAGCAATCTCTTTCAGCCAGAGTTTGACATCTCTAACAGTCATGTTTCCCGGTGCAGCTCCCTTCTCGAGCATGGCATCAGTAATTTTGCAGTCATTGGTTCGATGGACCCTAAGCTTCACATTCTGAAGAATTTTTTTTTTGCGAGTGACTCATCGCATTTTGGCCCTTTGGGATGGATGTCGACTCCTGTATGTGGAGGGTATGGTAGTTGTGCTTCTGTAGTTGGAAAAATATGGATGTTCCCCATTAAAATCGACATGATTAAATCTTTGAGAAGAGAGTATTCCACGTACCAACCAGCTGGTTGAGATAGGCGGTGAGCTCCTGTCGCAATTGAGTTTGCTCCTTGACAGCAAGTGGCTTTACAGTTGTCAAGGGCTTTTTTTTGAAAACATCACGCGGGCATTGAGTTGCCTCTTTGGCAAAGTTTTCGAGTAGATGGTACTCGGATTGACCCAACTCGGCCCATCGATCACACGAAGTGTATTCCTCCATCCAGAGGGCCTTGCTGAGGGTTGTCTTGGGATGGAAGGATGAGGCAAGTAAATGGAACTCAATATTGAACTGAGTATGAAGCACATGAAGCTCAATGAATGGACAAGTAAAGGTTAGTAATCAAATGTGGAGGCAAGATAAGAATATTCGATTACTTACTTGTTTGACAACCTTGCTGACTTCAGCACGACCTTTTTTTTTCAGATGAGACAGTCTTTGGCTGGCCGAGCAATCCACGTTCAAAATGATGTTTAACCTTATGCATATTAACAAGCTCTTTGAACGTAGGGAGGTGTGGAGTTAAATCGGACGGGTTGTGAGGATCTTCGTTGAGATTTTCTTGAAAATTGGTCGGTGATGAATTTTGATCGCCATTGTCCTGTAAAACCACTTCAGCTAATCTTTTGAACAACGGGGGATGAAATATTGATCTGTGATGAGTATTGAGGCTAGTACATGTAGTCCCAGTAGCCTTGTTGTGTGGTCCAAAGCCGCGGCGGGTGTTTCGGGGTGGCACTGATGAATTCGGCGGATCAGAAAATTCACCAAGAAGGATTTAGTGAAAACATAAACTCACTGGATATTTCTTGGGTGTTCTTCCTACTGTATGTCCGGTAGTAATCATATGATGATGAAGCTCACTGTTTAGGTCCCAAAAACCTTTGAAAAATACTCATAGGTCAGGCCAATATGGGGTTGGATTGTAAATGAGGTGGGAATGTGACATGATTACTTACAAGCCTGCTTTCAAAGTTGGAAAGCTGATCTGTCCAGCAAGGCTTAACATCTTGAGTCCTCGTTGGAATGTATCATGCAGTGCTTGAGCTTCGGAAACGATTTTGCGTGAGGGTCGATTGTGAGAGCCTATCTCGCGGCTCCTTAAGACTTTATCTAAATAAGCGTCAGTCCAATCAACACCTAAGGTGGCATAATTGGCCAACGTAGGAAGAACAACGTTCTTGAGAGTGTTGTTTGCCTCATCATCATCTTCTTGATCTTCCTTGCTATCATCATCTTCATCCGGATCGTCTTCAGAGGTATTCATGTTTTCTTCTTCACTATCACTGTTCGTTCCTGGAGATCATGTATAGTGGTGTGAGCTTGGGTTTGTGGACGTTTGGGGGAAGAGTCATTCATGACCTCAGACCTACTGCAGGATTGCTGTTGCTTGTGCAGAGATTGACGAGTTCTTCCAGTGGAAGAAATCTGCGGGTTGGTACTTTTAGACGAACTCAAGCGCTTGCGCTTTGCAGACGGCATTGTGAGTGAGGGATTGTGCCGGTGCAAGTGTGGAAACAGGTGTGTTGGAAGTGTGTGAGGTGGTTGAGTTGATATGCGCGAGCTGTGAATTTGGAATTGATGTTGAGTGAAAGATTAAGAAGCCAAGTTATACATGTGTTTTGAGCTGGTGAGGTGGTGTAGGGTGGGATAGGATGGTGAGATGGTGTGTTTGTACGTGGTGAGGTGGTGTAGGGTGATGTGAGCTGGTGAAGTCACAGGTTGAGGTGGTGTAGGGTGATGTAAGGTGGTGAGGTGGTGTAGGGTGGTGTGAGATGGTGAGGTTACAGGTTGAGGTGGTGTAATGGACATACCGGTAGAAGTGGGTGGTGAGCTGGTGACCTGGGGGTGGGGGTATACGGTGGAAGGGGACTTAGAGAAAAAAAATGAGAGGAAGCTGCAGCTCCTTGGCTCCTCATACACATATCAGACATACTCCAAAGATGCAATTTGTCTTTTCTTTGGATAATATCCGTGACATTGAAAGGACACAGGTGCATCTAGTGTCTTACAATCATTATTGATTTGAAACATTCACAAGCTGGTGACTTACTGTTAGGCTGACAAAAACTTTTGTCCTTTAATCGTGAGCTACTAATCTCCTGGCCCAATTGTGGGATCATGGATATCTCACCAGGTGACATCTGTGATACCCTCCAACCCATCAAAGCTGGCCACACTGACCACATACTCTCCAACTTTCATCACAACACCCACTGAATCACCTCGCTACCTGAACCCACGACATCAATCATACTGTTGCATGATTTCACCCTCCAAGTCATCAGCCAGTCAGCCACCACATAGCTTGGGCTGTCAGATAGCCTAGGCTTGCTACTTATGTCACACCATTCCACATGCACACATGGATGATTTAAGTATTGTTGGACCATACTTTCATTCCTCTTTTTCTTTTACTTCCCTTCCTTCAAAATTCTTCTAAAATAAAGGCCATTGCTATTTGCAGCCCACAAGAAAACCATGTAGGCGCTGTTTTGGCAGCGCCTACATGGGTGTTTCCCACGAAAAAGCGCCTACATTTATGATGTAGGCGCTGAAAACCATCTAAAATGACGCCTACATAATAAACAACCCATGTAGGCGTCATTTGGTTACGCCTACATTCAAAATTTCAGAATGTAGGTGTAATTTTCAAGCACCTACATATCTAATTTGAAATGTAGGCGCTATTTTTGAGCGCCTACATTCAATTTTCAGGTCAAATAAGCCCCTACACGCAGTCTTGCATATGTAGGCGCTCCAAATCCAACACCTACAACTCCAGACTGGTCTGACGGCTAATGAAGAAGAAGTTTCAAGTTAAAATGAGAGTATTGGAAGACGGAAAAAGCAGTTCGGAGTTGAAATGAGTGTATCGGAAGATGGAAAAAGCAGCTTGGAGTTGAAATGAGTGTTTTGGAAGACAGAAAAAGCAGTTAAGCATATTGGAAGATAAATATGCTCTTTTCAACTCTGAAGTGAGTGTATCAGACGACGTAAATAGCAGTTCAGAGTTGAAATAATCTACTTCTTTTTCCGCTTCTGATACACTCATTTTGACTCCAAACTGAGTTCAGAGTTGAAATAATTTACTACTTTTTCCGTCTTCTGATGCACTCATTTTGACTCCGGAGTGACTTTTCCGTCTTCCGATACACTGATTTCAACTCCAAACTGATTTATCCGTCTTCCAATACACTCATTTTGAGTCCAAACTGCTTTTTCCGTCTTCCAATACTCTCATTTTGACTTGAAAATTGTTCTTCATTACCCTTCAGACCAGTCTGGAGTTGTAGTTGCCGGATTTGTAGCGCTTACATATGCAGGACTGCATGTAGGCGCTTATTTGAGCTGAAAATTGAATGTATGCGCTCCTTTTTAAAAATGTAGGCTTAAATTTTGAGCGCCTACATTGGATTTCCCATGTAGGCGCTCGAAAATAGCGCCTACATTTCATTTTTTAAATGTAGGCGTAACCAAATGACGCCTACATGGGTTTTTAACATGTAGGCGTCATTTTGGATGGTTTCCTGCGCCTACATCATAAATGTAGGCGCTTCTTCGTGGGAAACACCCATGTAGGCGTAATTTGGCCATCGCCTACATGGTTTTCTTGTGGGCTGCAAATAGCAACGGCCAAAATAAAACCAATGCAACTCAATTTTTTCTTGACTTTGTTTGTCTTTGTTGGACTACATGATCAGAATATAGAAAACAAGATTTTCATCATTTGCTTGTGAACTTGAATTTTAAGACCAGCATAACCCCGTATGGTTTTCATCCTAGATATTTAATTTGGTCTGTTATGTTGCAGTGATGTGTAAAGATGCTTACAGTATTTTTGTACAAGGTGCTGTTTTATCATAGTCTCAGTGATCAAGATTATATTATCAGATTCTCAGAACACTTTTCTTGATTCTTTGATGCTCCTAAGTTGAACTATTGAAACAAAGAGCATAATTGATGAGACCATCAAAACACTCATGATAAACCAAGGAAGTTATCATGCAACTGAGATGGTAAGTGTATAGAATTATATAAAATAAGTAATCCAATAAACTGCATTTGATATGTTTCATGCAACATATAAAATCAGCATTCCAATTTTATAAATTTGGTAGTTTAAGGTCTACACTGCAAGGGGCATTTGGGGGGGAAATATCTCACCAGCCAGACCACACTGGCCTGAGATACTGTACTCAGGTTACAGTTCAATGCTCATGCATTAAGTATATACCAAAGTGGATATGTATTGAGTTCAAACCTTGCATGGGGTATTCTCATTTTTTGTTTCATCAGGTTGTAGTGCAGCCATGAAATTCAACACTCCAGACCTAGAGTAAGAACTTTGGCTGATGGCTGGACAATGACCGTCAATCCAACCAATCCTTCCACACCCACATTCTTGCTTAGTTAAAAAATGGACTTACAAGGTAGACATATGAAAAAACATAAAAATGTATGTATCTGAGAGGGAAAACATTTGTACTTTATGAGGTCGGAATTAGTAAGTTGGGGTCGAACTGGGGAAGTTGAGGTCAAACTGGGGAAGTTTAGGTCCCACTTGGGAAGTTAAGGTCAAACTGAAGTTGAGGTCAAACTGGGAAAGCTGAGGTCAAACTGGGAAGTTGAGGTCAAACTGCAGAAGTTGAGGTCAAACTTGGGAAGTTGGGGTCAAACTTGGGAAGTTGGGGTCGAACTGCGGAAGTAGTTGAGCATGAATGGTTGGGCGTATGCAGTCGCGTACATTTTTCAACATGTAGGCTCATCAAATCAATATCTGCTGACATCCCTTTCCTCTCAGCTTCTTCAAGATAGTTTATGAAGATGACCGCGAGATGTTTGATAGTAACACTTTATATGCATTGCTTGTGTCAATTCTACTATTTTATCAATGCTTGTGTATGTCACTGTGAAAATTAATCAACTTCCACAAGTGGAAAATGAAACCTTCCAGGGAAAACAATCAATAAAAATCCGTGGGGTTGGAAATTGAATGGAAAATGATTCTGATGTTTTTAAGGATGGGGATGGGACAGATTCACTGAGCAGTGGTGGGTTTGGTTAGGGTTGAGGTTAGAGTTTGGGTCTGACAAAACTGGAAGAAAATTGTCACTTTATAAAATATGTCACTACATATGGGTTATTGAGGAATGTCGGGGGATTTCCCTTCAAGCTGGAGATAAAAAATACACAGACTGAGCCATATACAGGCTGTTCAGAGGGTCAATGTGAGAAATGAATACCCCAACAATGATGTACACTCAATACGTCAAATTTAATTGAAGAAGAGATTGCAGATTTTTTTTAATTAGATGTGGCGATGTCCATTTTTGTTGAGCTGGACCTGTGTAAAACACAGGGGTAAAATTGGTGGTTTATGAAGCAACAGGTTTGGGATCATGTTGAGTGGTTTGAGCTCCACAGGATGTTCTGAGCAATATGGTATTGTGTACCTGATCAATTCATAATGATCCTAAGGACAGACACATGAAAGTTGCTGTGTTATATGTCAAGGCAGGTTCAGGGTTTACATGTTTCACATTACAATGCAGCTTTCAAGAATTCCTGTATTGTGGCATCCTGTTCAAAAACATACCATGTATATGTAGTGATATTGCAACAATGTCCTTATGCAGAAATCCATTTTTCCAGGTTGGGGTGATGCAGGGCAATGGGACTTCACATATCTCTAGTGTCATCAAACCTTGGGAGTTCCATTTTAAGTGACAGATAATTCTTACATATGCATAGTGAAATATTACCTATACATTTGTAACATCAACAAAGATGTGCTTTATTTCACACACAGTGACAGTGATTTTAACTACACATATGTAGGGCTGTAACCCGACCCTGTGAGTGCAAGTCCGGCCCTGGGGCAAAATTCAGCCCTGAGTAAACCCAATGACATCTGAAGTCTGCTCAGGGCCAAGCAGGACCAAGAATACAATATTAGACTATGTAGCAACAGAAAATACTTGACTATACATATGTAACGTCCTCAATCACATGATAACACATGTGTAGTAACAGAGACTGAATTGCTATGAATATGTAACATCTGCAAGCACATGATATTATGTGTGTAGCAACATACAATATCTCACTATACATAAGGCACATCTACATCATTGGACATTTCATGTGTAGTGACAGAAACCATTGTGATATAAATATGTAACATCTGCAAGCACATGATACTACATGTGTAGTGGCAGACAGTATTGGGCTATACATATGCAACCTCTGCGAACTAGGGCTATGACCCGGCCCCGGGGCATCGCCCGGCCCAGCTGAGCCCTGGCTGCATTCTCAAGCAGACCAGGGCTAGCTTAGAGCTGTATTTGGTGTACAGGAGCAATATAGTCGGGGCCGGCGCCCTGGAAGCCCGATCCCGGGACGGGGATTGTGAGGTCTCTCAGGCTAAGTTCAGTAGACCCGGGGCACGTACCTCTTGGATCAGAAATATCATTGGGCAAGGTCGGCCGGTCAGGGCCAGGGCCGGGTCATAGCCCTACTGCAAACACAGAATATTACATGTGTAGTGACAGAAAACCTTTTACTGTACATATGTAACCTTTGCAAACACGTGATGACACATGTGTAGTGACGTAACCAATACCACCTTGATATTTCATGTGGTGTTGATTTAGCAGGCACTTCCCGTAGCTTCCTACATGATATGAGTTAGCATGTGTATCTAGCATCTGCAAACATGTTTCACAGCAAAAGCAAGACACTAAGTATACTTCCTTTCCCCCAGGGTGGGCTGACAAGGGTGCAAGTGGATAAAGATGTGAATGTGACACTAGTCACGTAGCATCAGGTGTGTAGCAGGTTTTTGATGTCTTTTTGCCAATAATTTTGGGAGGTTTTGTATTCAATTTGGGCACTGAAGAATTTTGATCTTGCCATGATGGTGCTGTGCCTGCTGTTCAATCACAAATTGAGTCATCCCCGGCCATTCAAAAATATCTTGTCTAGAGTCCCTTGCTCCAGTTAAGTACACAGTAATGAGATTGTTGATTTGGAAACTGATATCAACCAATATAAAACACAATATATGTATGTAGCAGCAAAGATCAAGGGCCTAAAAAGTCATTGTCATACAATTCCTGGCATAAAAGTATACTAATAACCTACAGACCGAAAAAACTAAATTAAAAAAATCAAAGGACGCCTACTTAGACACACTATGAACTAAAGAGAAGATATGAAGAGCATGCACAAAGAAGGAATATTTAAACTAGGGTGTGCATAGATTGGCGGTCAACCTGGCTGTTGAGCCATTCCCACCGGACATTGTCATCCAATTCCTTCACAAATTCTGCACCAAGGTTTTGCGTACGAAGATACCTAGCCGCCTTCTTTTTCTCATCCGGTGACTGTAAGTAAGGACCTGAGTAAGTTGAGATGAGATACAAAGCCTCCCTAAGGTCTCGAAACTCAGAACGCCTCTTGTTTTGCATTGCTGCCTTGATCGTGCGTTGTGCTTGGGCCAGGTGGGACTTCCGGCGGTGGGTCATCAGTTGGCCTTGCGGATTCAATCCCAAACGTTTTTGACTTCGTAAAGAGGGTGGCGTAGATGTAGGCGGGTGCATGAGCCTGTTCGGGTTGGTCTCAGGAGTAGCTTTGGGGCTGTTGAATGAATTACAAAGCCAACAGACTACAGAAGTCATAATGAGTTTTGTGGGCTTGTGTAACATCACAATCAGCCAATTTACTAACCTTTACAAGCTAATTCATCGCGAATCTTGTCAGGGCACTCGAAATAGTTGGATGAGTTTGGGATGGACATCGCTTTTGGGTGGATATAGAAGGTAAACTTGTAATACTAGACGGAGTAAATATACGTGATTTATAGGATGATAACTACCACCAGTGGTATACAGATAGAGGTTGGATTGCGAAGTTTTTTGAGGAAGATGTTTATCGACAAGTAGAATGATTGTTTGATTGGGAAGTTGTTACAAATATCCAAATGCATATATAGTCGCATATCCTGAGTCATCAAAGGGCCCAAGTCAGAAGTTCTTTGTTGACTTCCTTAGCCTTTCAGCTCATGTAAAGACCCAAATCAGAAGAACGATCAATCAGTTGAGCATTACACTACTAAGTACACAGACATGAAAAATGAAACGGGCGGAAGTTTGCCAGCAATATGCAGATGAGGACTGCTCAGTCTTACTCAGTACGACATACATAATCTATGACCATTCGAATGCGCAATTGTTGAGACTGATGAGGTTTCAGTATAGTTTAAAGATGCTCAGAGGACATGGATTGTAAGGTTTCAGAAGAGATAGCCAATGAATTGCTTCTTCAGTTGCCACCTCTCAGTTACAGCGGAGATGCCTGATTGTCACTGGTCCAAGAAAGGTTCAAATTTTCAAATCATCAATGAAAACTCACAGCGCGGATAGGGTTCTGACCAGATAAGCCTCTTCATATTATGTCTTTCCGTGTGTCCCTTTATTTCTCTTGAAGGAGTCCGCGTTTGTCTTGATTATTTTTTTGCAAGTGTTCAGCAATTTTCAGCTTCCAAGAGTAGTTTAAGAGCTTTGTTGAGATTCATTCTGTACTAGGTGGCTCACAATTTTCTGTTGGCAGCTCCGCATCTAGGCCAAAAAGTCAACAACTTGTATTCAACCATTCAATTCAGTTTGTATCTCCAGCTTTGGTTGTAAAGAAAGACCAACAGATTCAATCACATAATTTAATCATGACTATGTTCTCACTCTCGCAACCCACATGATATATCAGAAGAGGCCCCTCATGTAAGCACAGACTAGAAGTATAATTACAAAAAAAAATGAACCTCTGAGCATCTCTATATATTATTTGAAACTTTAATCATTCACTACAACAAACTTCACAAAGAGAGCGCCTGTGGCAAAAGTCATTTCCATAACGAAGACGTCATGACTGAAAACCCGATGAAGAAACAAGTTAGCTAGATCCAGTCTATTAATAGAAGGAGATTTGTAAATGTAACCCACCATCAGAAAATGAAACGCCCCTCAAATTCCAGCTCTTCAAGGGGAAATATATCAAAATGGACCCCCTGGCAAAGTCCTGGCTCTTCGATTTCCAAGCAGATCAAGTTGTACAGAGCAAGTAGCATGGTACGACTCATTGCTACATTGATGGGAATCCGAAGTTGAGGGCACCAAATTTGGAGTTTCTTCCGAATTGTATCACGATCCTTTGTTGAAATTTCTTCTAGGCTGTATAGAAAAGGACGTTGAAGATTGCCAGGCTTGATTGTTGAATTTCCCATACCTATTCCTATTTTGTTTGTTATGTGCGACTGGAGTTTAAGAAGCGCATCTTTATTGAAACCTCAAGAGACCAGCTTGTTCACTCTCTTTTTGAGACCTTCACGCAGCTCTTCCACCTTTGAATTCGGCCGTCTACCTGGAACAGGGGTTCGTAAATCCTCAGTCGAAGAGGTTGGAGTGGAGTTGGAGCTGGTAACCACCACCTTTGAGCACTTTGGTGGTGATTTGTTTGCAATGTTCATCTCGACATCTTTGTTAATATCTAGTTCAACTTGTTTGGATTTGGAAGTACCTTCTTGTTTCGATTGGGAAGTCCCAGGTGGCGAAGATCGTGAAGTCGAGTTTTGATTGAGGGAAAGAACAAAACTATCAACCATTGGTGCAGCAAATTTCTTGTAGTGTTCAACCACTTCAGATTTTTTTGCACGTGGCGAAAGCGCCTCTTGATTAATTTCTAAGATAGTCATTATCTGTCGTAGCCTCCCCATGCTACATAATCGTTGGTTATAATCAATCTACTCATTAAGTGTCATGAGAAAACCAAGGCGTTTCGATTTCCGGGCCACCTCCAGTCTACCCCATATTTGGTTGGTTTTGTCACCAGAGGAAGTAGCGATATTTGACATGATTGATTTGATAAGGGATTCTGGAACTAGAAAACTATAAGTGACAAGATTGATGAGGTTCAATAGCTTGGATTTAGGATTAGAATAAGACCACTGTATGATTTTTTATTCTGTGAGAGTCCTCCTTCTATAGTAGTTATGTGTTTGCCTACTTTGAATTACTTTTTTCGTCAGACTTTGACATGCTGAGGTTCAGTGAGCTAGAGATTGATCATCCTGAGCACTTCACAAGTTTAGGGAGTGGGTCAAAGGGAAGCTGAGAGAATGGCGTTTTGAAGACTTCATTAAAATCCTGAGGTAACTGTTTTTATATTCCTCAGATGAATTCAGGGTTCCTCCGGTTGAGCTGCTTGGCGTTTCCAACGCCCCTATATGTCAACCTAAGTTCCAGCGGTTCCTGGTTTTTCTAACTTCAGGTAACTTTCAGAATGCTAAGCGTGCCACCAATACGCTGAGCCAACTGACATTCATATTCCTCAGCTGAATCCGGGAGTGCGCCCGTTGAGCAGGTCAATTGTTCCAACCCTTTTGCGCAGTAAACTAAACTTCAGAGTTGCTGGCTTCTCTGAATTCAGGGAACTGTCAAGCAGGTCAATTGTTCCAAATCTTTCACGTAATAAACTAAACTTCAGAGTTGCTGGCTTCTCTGAGTTCAGGGAACTGTCAAGCTAGCCTTGCCAAAGTCTCCTCAAATTAATTTTTGTGCGTTTACTGCTTTGAGAGCTTCTTTGAACTTGATCCAGAGCCTCCAGCCCTGTCCGACCCGGCCATATTTTCAACCAAAAGATAACCCACACACAAAGCAGAAAGAAAAGCTCTGATCTACGAATATACACAACTGATCAACTATCACAAAAACAACAAAAATATAAGTTGATAAGGAACTAGATTCTTTTCAAAAAATGAAGGCAACCGAAAGGAATTGATGCACCTGCGACAATAAATCAAAAATGATGATGATCCAATTAAACAGAGATAAAACTTTCCTTTCAAATAAGAGCAATCAGATCAAGTTGACTTACTAAATTTCAGCAAGATTCGATTTTCAAGGTAGAAAACCACGGAATCCAGGTAATTGGCCTTCAAGAAGTAGCTAAAGCCAAACAAATGGAGGAAAGAGTTAATTAAGCTGAAGATAATTCAGAATTTGAAAGGAAGAAAAAGACAACTTACAACAAATCTGATCACCAATAATCTTCATATTAAGATCATGTAGTGAAGGAGATGAGTCCATATTACGCATTGAAGTAATAAGTTGACAAGCAATTTGAACAAGAGGTTCATGACCATGGCGACGAGTAAGCATATTGAGACCACAAGTTTGTTTTCGTTTTGAATTTGATCCATGTATACTATAATTGATTGAGAGACTGGGTTGTTCATCCGCCTGATTTACCTCATGTTCTTGATTGCTTGAAGTCAATTTGATCAAATCTCTGACACCTATCATATCTGTCAAAGCAAATGATTCTAGAATTTCATATTTGCATTGCTTCCAAATTCCTACATACATAGAAAACGCAAAAACAGTTCAAAAAAGGAATTTGTAAAGGTTATAGATAGCTTATTTAGAGATTTGAAGAATGTTCAAGTTGGATTGTAACTCACGTCTTTTGTCACAAAATGATAATTCTTGAATCCTACAACATTTAACTCAAGTGATTAGACTTTGAAAATCATTTGTCATAGCATGAACTTCATTTTGAATCTTGTTCCATTTCTTGAATTGAAGTTGAAGAACGGTTAAATAAAAACTTGAGGAAGAAAAGTCATTTTATAAAATTAGATTTTAAAAGCCAGATGTAGGAAGTTCATTGAACAAAACTTTGAATCTGCTGGAATGACTTCCTACAAATGATAATTCACTGATGATTGTTGAAATTGGATTACTTGAAATAGTATGTGATTTTAAGAGTGTGTAGTTGAGATGAATCATGATTTGTTTCATTTAACGGGAAAATCAAATCAAATTAAGAAAGAATTGATCAGCTCTTTTGATATACAAAAGAATGGAAATGAAATCAAAAACTAAGAAAACGGCCATTGCCCAAAATTTATGTACATCACCTCACCCTCTGATCTGCAGTTGTTTGACAGTTACATTACATAGTACAGAGTTTATTAGCGCAATATGTAAAATCACATGTGAATCAAAAGCGCTTAAAAACCAAACAAAAAAATCGGAGACCCTTCTATCATCAAGTTAGCTTTTTTGAAATTTTCTCAACCCCCCCCAGGATTGAAAAAGTTGTCCTTCAAATTCATCCTCATCTCAATTTACTTTTCAAATTCAAACCAAGAGAAGCTTTGTGATCTATATCCAAATAATTCCTATTTGATTATTGAGGCTACGAAGCTGTGCTAGATCTCATGGAGTCAACAACTTTGTCAGAAGAGATGACCAATCAAGATTCCTCTACCTTAACAAAGAACAGTACGACTAGCAAAACTATTCTTGACGTCAACGAGCCGAATTGCTCCCCTGGAAAACCTCCTGATGCTCTGCCAGACACTGTAAAATCGATGTCTTTGGATCAGATAGATGTTGAAACTCAAGAATGCCGTACTTCAGCCGCGACTAATACAACCTGCAAAGCCACCTCCAATAAGGATAACATGAACGATTCAACTGGTGAACCTCCTCGAGCTCTACAAGATATAACTGAATCGAATCCTTTGAACGAAACAAAGATCACAAACGAGGCCAAATCTGAGTCACCCACTCCCAATGCAACTAGAGAGCCTGTGCTTGATCGTGTCAATCTCAACAACTTCGCCATAGAAAACTCTAAAGCTCCTAATTGTACGATTGAGTCAACTTCCTCAAGAATCACAAATCATACAAATTCTACATCAGCAATCACCAACAGTACTGGCGAAGAGCATCCATCGTTCATATTGCCCCACCTTGCATTACAACTCAACAAAGCGCAGGAACACCTATCTAATTCAAACTCTTCCGATCTTGGAATTCAAGACTTCAATCATGATTCCCAGCCAGAGTTGCCTGCTCAGACTCAAGACATCAATATACGCGCAGCCACTTCCAAAGATAGCAATCAACCTGATGAAGATAATCAAACTAGTCAACAAATGTTTCTACCAGCTCTTGAATCCTCCTCAAATAACGAATTGGTATCTCCTACCTCCGCTTCAACAGATTCTCTATCCTTTTTGAGTGCGATGATATCCCTATCTCAAGCTCTCACAAGTAATCAGCCTAATTCAGCTTCCATGATTATTGAAGAAGCGGATGTCTTAGAGATGGAACATTCAAAATATTTAAAAGACTCGACTGTCCAGCTTCAGCAGAAGAGAGGCCTTTCCCCAACGGCGTCTAGCGATTTGAGCAATACCCGAAGAAAAATAGAAAGCTCTGCCACTTCTTCAACTGATAAACCAGAAGACAATGTTCCACTTCTAAATTCTCATAAGAGACACCTGTCTCCTGTACTCTCTACTACTACGAGGATGGTTCAATCTCGTCTACAAACTCCTGATACTGAGATTACCACGGACAAAAAGCCCTTGTGGACATCGACTACAATACCTGTTTATTCTGAACTCATTGCAGCTCTTGAAAAAGCGAAGAGGTCAGATTGTTTAACAACACCAATGATAGAGGAACTTGAGAGATTGAATTCTCGATGTAAAAAGACAGGGAATGGTACGTGTTTGTTTCTTAATGCTTCTATTATCTGGAATGTATGTTGATTATTTTCTGGAGACAGCCATAATAAAGAAGGGACCTTTACCCGTTGAAGAGAGCGCTATTGTTGTACTGGATGACAATGACGAGGATTTACAAGCCAAATACGGCTTTTCATTCGAGCTCTCCGATTCTGATACAATGGAGTTTTGTGCCAAAACCCATCAAAATCCCGACTTGACACCTAGCAAAAGCCAAAACTTGATCTCTCCCGAAAAAAGCAAAACACTGCCCACCAATGAACGAGACAATCAGCAGCAGAACAATAATGCAAGCTATTCTCATATGGACGCACTTACAGGCAAAAGAGAGGATAGCAACATGGAGAGAGTCCTCGAATCCACTCCAAAATCGCCCAACCGAATTTATGTTCCTGAAGAAATTGAAACTTTTGGTCAATATCCTGATTCTCGCGATGAAGGGGTCAACTTGATTCCTCCCAACGTACAATCTAGGCAGTCTGAGACCTCATCCAACAAATCAAAGTCGGCAACTGTTGTCAGCCAATCCACTCAATCTGAAAAAGACACCACAGATCCCGATTCCACTCTGACTTCCATCCAATCAACCGAATCTGAATGTGTAATGAACCAATTTGATTCACTTCTGACCGCAAATCAAAACACCGATGTTGAAAAGCAAACAGAAAACTCAGCTTCGGTTCCTGTTGTCAATCGATCGCCCAACTCCTCAACAGTAAAGGAAGTTCCACATTCAACCCCCGATGTAGTTCAATCAGCCGAGTCTGAAATGGAAACTGATAAATCCCATTTGGCTCCTATTGTACATCAATCTTCTGAGCCCAAAGCGGTTGACCAATCCAAGCATAGTGGCGAAATAAATAATCTGAAGGAAGGTAACATCAATTCCAGGACTCTGAGGACCAGGAAACAAACACTTACAGCGGTTGTGATTCCCAAATACACCAATAGTAGTAAAGAATTGAAGTCTTCAACACTCAAGGTTTCAAAAAATGATAAGTAAGATTTGAAAAACCATACACAGAAAGAGAAAGAAGTGGCAGTCTTCAACTGTAAGATGAAAGTCTATTTTACTTTACCATACAGCCTGCTGACTCTTTTCAACAACTCAGTCAAGTTTTTCATAGGTTCGGATGAGATCGAGAAGCAGCTTATTGAACTCTTGGTGCCGTACAATGGAAAAAAAAAAACCAGTAAGGGTGCAAAGCTTGTTGCATGGGAAGCTTTGACTTCTTTACTAGAACGAAGACGGGTGGGGGAACCATTGGATCAGGAATTCTTAGATTCCATTGATAATGGTACAGACAGTGTGGTGATCAGGACCGAGTTTAATGCTCAGACCTGGTTTGAAGCCATACAACATGCGAGTAAGTGTCCACATTCTCTAGGAATGAATTCCACTGACATCGTTATAATTTGTGATCCACACAGTGCCTAATCTTTTCAATTCTCACTCGGGCGAGCCTTCTTACTCAGTTGGGCTTTTCAACACTACCCAATTGAAGAAGGAATCATTCTCGGACAAAGTTCCTGAGTGTGTACCACCCCTTTGGCATCACACTTACCGATCAATTCGAATGTCTATTCGACCATCACCAACAAAAGTTACTGGCTTCCTCAAGATATTATTAGATTCTGTTATTCTTACCGGGAAAACTTTCTTCAAAGAACCTCCTCCGTCAGAAACAGAAAAGGCCAAGACGGGAATCGAAGCAGTTTGCCAGGCTATCACGTGGCTCAATTCACAGAAGTCTACAAAAGCAACTAATTCAAAGACTGTGCGGCTTCTTGATACAAACAACCTCGAACCTCTGGTTGACATCGGACTCATACAACAATGGCGGGATCTGTTCATCAAGGTGCTGTATGCATATGTGGTTCAATACTTAGAAGCCAAGTATATATTGAATGAAGATGCACGACCTGAAGACAAAGAAATTGCACTCAGCTTCAAAAAAGAATGGAAAGGGGATTCTGTCAAGGCTCCGACCCTTGGATATCTCGTGATGTTTGCTTGTTGTGGGATTCGTGGTTTGATTTGCTGCTCAGGTGATATAAACATTGCGCCGGCTGGTCAAATGCTCAGCTTTACAGTTCTTTCAGAGTGGCTTTGCAAGCAAAAACCGGATTTCGAAGTGAAAGAGCCTGTCTTCAAACGTAGCAATCAAATGCTGATGCGGCTGATGGATGGTCTCTTTGATGATGCAGGCCACTTTATAAGACCTGAAATTACTTGGTACGAGGTTTCCAAGAACCTTTGTTTTGACTATCTCTCACACTGGTTCCTTGAGGCTGGAGATCTATCAAAAGGCAAAAGCCTGGTTTTTCCAAAATCAAGTGTATTTTCTGGGAAGGATCGAACCATAACCTTTCCACGATAAACTAGATTTAAACCATCTGTATTTTTTGTGACCTCTGCAATAAATCTATATGATATCTCCATCAACTCCCTTGGGTGCCCTTCAAAACAACAGCTAGCAGTAGCTTGAGCGTGCAACACTTGGCTTTTGCCCCTCAAGATGAGAGCAAACTGTCTTTCCCTGCCCGTAATTCAAAAGATTGAAAAAACTCAGGAATCAGGATGCCCAATCTTCAGTAAGTACACAGAATCGCAACAGATGACACAATAAAATAGAAATAAAATAATTCTAATTCTAATTTAGATTGAACTTCTTTTCAAACCAACAGCCATATCACTTATTTTACCAAACGGATCTGATGAGAGCGTCAGGTGTCCCCCAGAGTGTGTGAAAAAACCTCTTGGTGGGACAAGATCAAAGGCAATTGAGGAACTAACTCAGATGCATCAGCAAATGCCAATTTTTGATAAGTGTGATCAGGTCTGTTTGGAACTCACAATCTAATCCAATTATCAGGATTCCTAATGAGAAAGAAAGGTGAGATCAATTTTCAATCTGATATTGGTCTACTCACGTAGGTTCATTTTCTCCAGAAATCCTAGAAATTTCAAGTTTTACAACACAAAATTTGATTGTATTCGACATATTTTCTTTGAAGGCATTCTTGACTTTCAGGTTTGATTCCTTTTTGATTTTCGCTTAAAAGCCATCTCAATTTTTCTCCCATCAACATACAATCTTCTGGTTTTTGATGCAATCTGATATTGAATGAAGATGGAAAACTTTTGGTTTTTTTTAATTGTTTGATTTGAATTATAAAAGACTGATCTCCAATTGAAGCAACGATCAAAAAAGCTGAATATATATACGCTAAGGATCACAAGCTAGAATGCTCCTATCTCAATATTATGTTCCTGGCCAGGAACTGACAATTACAGGATAGCGTCAGGGGAAGCAGAAAAGACGGGTTCAACCATACAAGTTAACTACATATGTAAGCGATGAATATCAAAGGCTAGAAGAAGCCTACGCGACTCGTTCCTGGCCGGGAACTGAGGATCATGGGAAAGTATTGTATGAGGCAAAGCGGGGAACCGCGGGAGGGCTCCGAGTTCTAACCTAATGGGTCGGGTCGGTCTTTGTGTCTCATCATTAGAGCCCGTTTCCATTCAGAGTAGATTTGGTTCAACTCCAGGAGATTCAAGTTTGACCAAAATCGAGTCAAAAGGTAACAAGTTTGAAGAAAAAAAAGTGAACAAAGTTATGAGAGATAGAAATGAAAAAGATGTGTGGAAGAAGATTAAATGAAGTTGAAAAATGAACAATTCACAAATCTATACAAGTGGTCTGGAACAGAAATATAAAATTCAAGCAAATGGCTAAATGTGTGAAGGATTGTAAAATTGTCGAAATTTGTGTAAATCATGATCAATGAGGATTATAAAAGACTGATCTCCCATTAAAGTCACGATCAAAAAAGTTGGATATGTATATATACGCTTGAGATGAGAAGCCAGAATATTCCTTCCTGGCCAGGAACTGACGATTATGGGACAGGATTTACCAAGGGGAAGCGGTGAAGTCGGGGTCAATCAAACAGGCTGAACACATATGTAAGGAATGAAGCAACACTAGAAGACGCCTATGTAATTAGCTTGTTCCAGGCCGGGAACTGAGGGCTGTGGGAAAGAATGTATGGGGAAAGCGGGAAACCGAAGAAGAGCTGGGAGTTCTAACCTAATAGGTCAGGTCGGTCTTTGAATCTCATCATCAAAACCAGTCAATGTTCAGATTAGGTGTCTTTCAACTCCAGGAGATTCTAGTTGGAGCCAAACCTCTAGGCCATCGCTTCTTGTCAGAAACCGCCTTCCTCAGCCCCTTTTTATTGCACAAAAACCGGCAAAATCACATAGGCTCAAACTTGAATTTGATCCCGTCAGGCTTCAAAACCCCCACCAGCTTTTTTAAACGTTCTAAAAAGTTTTTTCGAAAGGCCTATTGCACGCTGAGCTGGCAAGTTCTCTACTCGGCAAGCTTTATTGAACCCTTCTGCTTTCTTTTAAATTCCGACGGCTCCTATAACTTAAATTTTCTCCCTGCTTTATTTTTTGCAACCTACCTTAGAACCACTCAGTGGGAAGTTAGTAAATTTGGCTGTCGCTTTTGAGAAACTTTCGCATCTATATATTGGTTTCTCAACAAACTTGTGAGGGGTTTTTCTACTGGATCATTTCTTACTTCTTTAGCCTTAGATTCTGTTGATTGACTTGAAGATCTTCACTTTCTTAATACATTTTTATGATGTAGCCTATTAGGTTTCTATAACATTCAAAACACCTTAATCAACTCGATTAAACACAATGGGATCTCCGCTTTCTGCATGGAACGAGTCAATATCCTCGCTCGCCAAACGTCTGGGTGTTCCTGAGGATGCGACATTCATCTTTCGCCAGAGTTCCCAGGAGCGAGCCAAGGGAGATTACTTAGAAGTTTATAAAATCAAGTCTGGGACTACGGTGGTGGTAAATGAGAAAGATTTATCCCTGGTCATAGCAGTTCGATGCAACAAATTCAAGACAATGTCAAATGAGGAGAGAGAGAGATTTAGATTTGGAATCTCCACTCCTTACTTACACGCTAGAGCTAGACTGACCAACACCCTCCACAAGTCGATACAGCTATTTATACTAGCGCTCATATGGTGGGGATGGATGGGGTGCTGCGGGTGGCGAGGTGCCTCGGATCGCGGGAAACGGATTGGCAAGTAGATCACCTTATGAAACTTGACATATCTGACACTAACTCAATTATTGATATCTTCAACAGGACCTTATGCGCTCAGAGACTTTTCTGTCAAAAAAGAAGAAGAAATTGAGGCAGATCGTCGCCGAATGGGTGAATTTAGCAAGGTTCAAGACTTTTGGGCCGACCGATTCTCCTCCCTCTGCCTATCAGCCTTTAACGACAACATACAACTAGCTACCAAAGCCAACATCCCCGGCTTTGATCACTTAACCTGGAATCAAACCCCTGATGGGAGGGTATTTGCCTCGAATCTAGTTGTAACCTGTGATGGTTTTAACAACCAAGCGCATACTGACGATCACGACTATACACGCTATTCATACGGGATGTTTTGTTTAATTGATCGTGTGACTGGAGAGCCATATCAAGTGAAGGGTTCAAAGAAAAATTGTGAAGTTAGATCTGGCTCCTTTATTATGAAAGACTTTGGGATTGAAGTGGACTTTCCCGCATGCGATGGAGTTGTTGAAATGGTCTGGGACACAAGAGTAAGTCATTTTCCCTTCTAGTGAGGAACATCATGACAAGCTAAACCTCATACATCCTTAATAAACAGGTTATACATCAAAAAGCATTGAAATCAGTTCAATTGAAGAGGAGGAAACGGGGAAAGTAATAGCACACCAACGGTTCTGCCTCTACCCCTCTTTCTCAGACTTTCAATTTTAATCAACATATTGTCAATCAAAAAATGCTCCTCAGTTGAATCCAAATCAAATTTGTAATCCTTTGCTTCAATGTTGTCTCATCTATTCTGGTCTTTTTTAAAAACAACCTCTCATACTCTGATATCAGTCCCAAATCTTGTATGAGAGATCTACACTTTGACGTGCGCAGATCTGTTTCGAAACAATTTGTTTTACACTAAGTTTGAAATTGAGACTATTGAGACGGCACAGATAGAAAAGATATACCCAGGAAAGTAGTTGTGTTTCTTGATCTTGATAAAGATCTCTGAAAAGACAGGTAGGAAATCTAACGCATTGACAAAGAACCAATAACATGGGTTGAACCCTTAAAACATTTTTTTAGCGCTTTCTTAACATTATCAAAGATCTCCAACACGGTGAGAGAGATTGAGTAGCCTGATATTGCAAATTAGAGAAATTGGTATCAGGATCTGGAATCGAAACCAGTTGAATCAAATTTTGTCTTTGTGTTTCTCCAGACATCACATGTACATCAATAGTAGGAAGTATATGGTTTTACCTGAAACAAGATGTCACGGGGCGGGAATGCATCAGCCCTTTAATTGTAACTTGGAATAAGATCAAAGACCCGACATACATGTCATCAGTAGCATCATCGTAAGTTGGGGGATTGGGATCAACCACGCGGATTCCATTTACTGTCCTCAAAGCGGATTCGTGTTGACACATCACATCACTTGAGTGATAGAAAAATTTTGTAATAAAGCTACTAGCCATATATGGCGGCTCAGTATCTGTTGATCCGGAAGTTTGCTCATAGTGACATGCTCTCTCACTGCAAAGAAACAAGAAATCAGGAAGATCAGCACGGTTCAGGTGGGTCTTCTCCCAGCGGCCAAACTTACGCTTGCTCCTTGATGATCCCTCCTAGAAATCCTACTTTCTCGCTGGCGGCTTTGAAGTTGATTTCGTCAAGTTCTATAACAAGCTTTGCCTCGACGGCCATATTGGTGAACATGCGAATGGAACTCGGTGAGACATTGGTGTGTGTGAGGATTCTTTGAAAGAGGTTGTAAGCGCATTGAGTTTCCATGATATGTTTCGTATGTTTTGATACATTAGAGACCAGAATATCCTTGTGACGCTCGAGGTAGTAGAGTTCCGCAGTATTGAACACTAGATATTCTTTAACATGTATATCAACTCCCTCCGAAGCAAGTTGAAGATTATCTTGATCTAGGGCCTGAAGAACTTTGATTCTGAAGTTTTGAGCTTGTCTGCCATTCTGATCCTCAGCTGCAGTCAACGTTTGTTTGAGATAAATTCCATCGCTGGGAAGGAAGTGACTGGGATGAAGGAGGTAAATCAGATTGAGGTAGGTTGGTTTATCCCCCACAATATTTTCGACTAGTGACATGATTAAGAGAATATGATAAATTGAGATAGTGAGTTTGATGAAAAAGTCTGTTTTATATGTTCAAGCTGGAGGAGAAGGGGGGATATATGCCGGTTTGATTATTTTTTCTGAGTAGAGACTTTCTTAAACCCGTCCAGCCACCCAGCATCTTCAAAATTCAAGGGATTGGTAAGAGAAGGACAGAGAAACCGATCAAGGGCGAGGCACTTGGGTAGGATTGATAAACTTTTGTACAAGTACGGCTGACTTCTGACTTTCACTGAAGTGATCTAGACATTCCAAGCCCAGATTGAACAAAGGTTCTGCGGCAGAGTAAGGTGAACTGGAGTTGTGCATGTGGGCAAAGCTTCAGACATTGGGAAAGTCGGATTTGCATCAGTAAAAGCGCTGTTTTGTAATCAGATGATCTGAGAATCATGTTTGATGATCTTCAAAGCAAAATGCGATGTTTCATCAAGACGGAGTTTCTTCAGGGATTGAGACGCTCAACACTTGAAGTTGATAAACAATCAAAAGGATTTGTGAAAGAGATTTCCAACTTGGGGATTGAGACAATCAACAACTAAAACTCACAAACAAAGAAAAGGAATAAAGAAAGAGATTTCCAATGGCTTATGTAGATGTCTCATAAGGGAGACTCTTTGGATCCGCTGGAAGTACACTGTAAGCTAACAATTCGCTAAAACTTCATAACAAAGACTAGAAAAGATTCAATCTCCAAAGGACTGGGCACAAGTCAACAAGAATTTTTGATGAGACAAAGGGAGAGATGAGCAATTTTCCAATTGAGAAGTTCTCTGTGCAGGTAAATCAAATTTGAATCAGATTCATCATGAAAAGATACCCATTGAAAGGACAGACTCACCTGGTGATTGAAGGCGATTTACTCAAGTGCATCTCAGCAAGAATCATCTCTCCACAGTCTGGAATTGAAAATTGATATCAGTTGACATGATAGTACGGGGAGCTCAGAAGCTATGCGTCAGGAACAAGAAGACTAACCTTTCTTCATCCAGTAGAGAACTTCATGATGTTGGTCTCGAAATCCATGGATCTCATAGCTAGCATCCAGGGTAGGGCCATTTGCTCAAATATTACAAACAAAGAGCGTAAATCGGTATAATGAATATTGAAGTCGGTAGAAGGGTGGAAGCAAGCAATAAGCTCAAATAGTTCCGAAGCGGTTGCCCTAATTGCTTGACCTTCTTTAATATACAAAAATTTGTGTAGATGAGGAGGTATTAAAATTTGACCCAGTCGGATAGGAAGCTGGTCATCAGGAATAGGAAGGCCTTGGCGATGAATATTGAATGATACAGGCATCACAAGAACTGCTTTGAGGAGAATGTGGAGAGTTTTTTGACTGACCCAGATTGCTTGAAGCGGGCAACCTGGAAGCTTGCCTTCACTCTATATAGAGCTGGGAGTCTGCTTCCTGTGAACTTTGCGCTGAGAGGGATCCGTGATCCAAAGGGATAAGATCGCCTCGGCAGCCGTTTCTCTCTCGTTGAAAATCCTCCTATCTAGTGACAGAGCAGAGAGACGGTCTGAAACCAGCCAAAGAATGCTGAGATTGATATCATTCAAGAGAATAGTGAATTTCAGATTAATTTGTGATGACGCGGAACGCCACTTTCAGGTGAATTGCCTGAGTCGTAAAGATTCTCCCAAAATAACAAAAACTTCCTGCCCTGTCCCCTCTAGAAAGTGGGTCTGGCTTTTCTCCCCTTTGTAACCAGAAACCTCTGGGTTGAGCAGATTATGCCAAATCAGATGTCTCACCGGTTTGAAACCTTGGCATTGAGTTCCTTTGCCGTGAAATTCGCATCAGAACGCAGCGTGTTATGACTCTTTGTACACATTGTTTTTAGTGTGAATCCTATTTATGACTTTCTCAAAATTCTAGGCTTCTGATTTCCTGGCCTGTGCCTCTGGATAATTTTAGAAGTAATTATAATTGTCAAAGTAAAATAGACCAAGCGGGAAGACTTGGACAGAATCAGGCAAGTTGCGGAAGGAAGAAAAAGGAATATTCTCCTAAATTGACAGAGCTTTCCTTGGGAATCACGACCTCACTTTTGAAAACAGGGAAAGACTGAACTAAGATTAGGAGCCGCGGCTGGCTTCAGAAATTTGGGTTTGGGGTTAGCAATCCTTTGAGCTCATATGGTCCCCCTCATCGCCTCTTTGTACAAGATCTTCTCCCCTAGTGGCGTTTTGGAAGTCAGCTATAATCTCTTCAAACAAGGACTTTTTCAATCACCGATATTTACAATGATATCTCACCTGTCAAACAATGAGAGAAGTGGGTCTAGCCGTCCTGAATCGAAATTCTTCCCCACTTATTTGTATCTAATCAATGTAATTTAGCAGAGGACTAATTCTTAAATTCTAATTAAATTTCAGAGATTGGGGGATGAAAACGCTTCTCTCAAAGTCTCACTTGAAGCTGGTTTGTAGCTTTCAACGCTCTCCACCACTCACTGGGCCCCTTTATTATTGCAGCTGGAGCTGTTCAGCAATGTCCACCTTTTCTGCATAGAACTACGAGAGATGCTTACATACTTACATACTCAAGGCCCAATATGATTTTTCATCTGGCCAACATCAGACTCAGAGGGCTTTTAAGCGCTCAAAATCCTGATCTCATAAATCAGATCAGTAATATATATTCCATTGTTTATAGTGTCGCGGCTCTTTTTTCAAGTCTTCAAGTCATCATGAAATTGCAAATTTTGGGGGAGGGTGGAAACAATTACAGTGAGATAAATTAAATGTAAATCACGAAGGTGAGTCCCCACTCCACCAAACATTAAGAATTCCTGTGAGAATTCCTGTTTGCGTAAGTGCTAGAACCTCCTGCTTTCTTTTTAATAAGGCATAGGCTCGTCAGCCAGTCTCTTTTTTGGCACATCAGTAACAGAAGGCTTCTCTAAATCATGTCCACTCATCATATCTTCCTACCGGATTACATCCTTGAATATGTTACTGAAGATCCTTCACCTAGATTTGACTCAAATTTATTCCAAAGTAAAGCAAATGTTCAACAACTTTCAGACATCATCATCACATTTTATCCTGACTTCAAATTTACCGAAGAGGCGAAAAACAATCATCAGCTTCTACAAGAGATATTCACTGAGATGGTTGCTTTCCGTCTCTCTAAGATAGTTGCTCCAACCAAATCCGACCCCAGATACTTTCACATTCAGTTGAAGACTCAAAGTTCGGCTTTGGCGACCCGTGAATCTTTCAAGTTGGTCAACTCAAAAGAAGATATTGACTTGGAGCGAAACTCGATGTTCAACAGTTGCTGTTTATCTCACCTATTGATTGGCCAGTTCCGGCTTGCCTCCGAAAACCTCAGCGCCTTCACCGATATTTACAAGTATTTGAACCAAATTGAGATTGCTCAAATTTCCGACGCTCGTCCGGATTTTGAAGAAACAATGCAAGAAAGTCTTCGCAACCTCGCTGAAGCCTATCAGCTTTCCGAGATAACCCAGCTGGAGCTCCTGAATCCGGATCTCACAGCAAACGAGCGTCAAGAACTCAATGAGAGACTTCAAACGGAGACGACCAATCTGATATCTCGACAGGAGGTGTTCAGCAAGGTGGTTGATGACGGCTCCTTCATGACAGCTTTACTCCAACATCACCAGTAAGTTTTTTTCACCGTCTGTGACTTGTGAATGGGTCTGCATGCTTATGAGTTGCATTTCTTAATGAATTAGAAAACTCCTCGACAAACAACAAACAAATGCCTAATTATCATCAAGTTGAACTTGAGAAGACCCTGGTGAGTTTGGATCAAAATTCTACCCCTCCCTCCAACAATTGGATATCAGCCGCTCATGCTTCCCTCTTGTTTTCTGAACATGCATGTTGTTTAGAACTCTGTGGCCTCCCTATATAATTAAAAGGTTCTCTTTGTTTCATAAGGAAAGCTGCCGACATTTCTCTGCTTTCTTTTACATTTTGTCCTTTTTTGCCAGGAGAATTCAAACTGAAAACTTTATGAAAATGTGATCTATGTTTGAGTGATGCTTACTACATGAATTTGTTTTTGATTGTCTTGGGAGAAGGAATTTGTCTCGATTCATATTCATAATTTCTATAAACGCTTGTGGAATCATGTATAGATATGTAGTTGCTAAATAGTAAACTTCCTGATTCGCTGGGTTTATTCTCAAGTCGACATGCCCAAATTTTCAACTTTTGGGATTTGTATATTCCTTTCTTGTTGAATTCTCCTGTAAGAGAGCTGTAATATGGGGCTGAGCTGACGGCTTTTCTGGTTTTGAATTGAATCGAACTGAATCAAATTGCATTTTCCAACGGCTCTTCCTGGCCTGGAACTGGAAGTTACCCCTCTCACCCTCTTCCGCTCTGAGAATCGAACTGAATCCAATTGTATTTTCCAACGGCTCTTCCTGGCCTGGAACTGGAAGTTACCTCTCTCACCCTCTTCCACTCTGAGAATCGAACTGAATCCAATTGCATTTTCCATCGGCTCTTCCTGGCCTGGAACTGGAACCTCTCCCACCCTCTTCTGCTCTGAGGATGAAGTCAGTCAAACGTCTAGAAAACTTCATTTATATTCATTCTTAGATTGTCACTCATCTCTGCTGATTGGATGGACTTGTTCAAAATCGCCAGCTTTTCATCAAAAGTTGCTCACACTTTGAAAGGGAAAGATTCTCAACTCCTTTCCCGTTGTTTGGAGTTTAGAAAAACAAAGGGTGAATTCACCTTCCTCAGCCCCATCTGTGAGCCCTTGAGCGCGAGGTTTCTGAGCCAACTCAAACGTTGCCTGAGGATTTCTGAGGAGACTTTGAACATTCAAAGCTGGGATGAGTTCCTCATGAAGCCCGTCATACTTAAATCATACTCTCTTTGCTCGTTTCCCCAAAATTGGCAAGCAAACTTCACATCAAACTGGCTTTGATTTTCATCTTACTCTCAACTCCTTTTTAAGCTTCATATCCTTCTTCAGTAGTGCTAGAAACGCTATCTCTTTGAGATCCAGAATTTGTTTACCTCTCCATCTTCATTCCAAATCACTTACTAGCTGAGCTATCAAAACTTTCCCTTTAAAAATCACTACTTTTCGGCAGTTTGCTGGATCTAAGCCGAGAATCTTCATTACAACTATATATCAATCTCTGGCTTTACAAATTTGCTCTTTCATTTCAAAAAACTCACATATTAAAATTTAGAATCAAGAAAGTCGTAGCAATGTCATCAGTAGGGTCAAAACGTGATCTCGAAACTGCTGGATTTGCTGAACTTGCCAGCGGTAAGTACCTCTCTGTCTCCAACCTGTGGCATCCATACTAAGTTTTGTATCAAATTCACAGGCTCCACTAGCCAAACTGTTCATCAAGACGGCTCGGAAGTCAACAAAATGAAGGCTACCCTATTGGAGGCTGGGTTTGATATCGACAAAGGTCAAAAATCTGAAAAAGATATGATAATATTATATAATCGCTATGTTCTTCAAAAGCAAATCAAACAACCAACTCAGTCCCGCGAGATACACCAAAAAAGTCGCTCATCTAGACATAGCCAAACTAAACACTCAGACCAAGACAATGTGGATAGTGCAGGAACTTGTGCAAAAACAAGTTTAACTGTCCCTAGTGGCAGCAATCAATTCACCTTTGAAGCCGACAAAATGACATCTAGTAAGCAACATTGCGACATCCTGCTCCTCTGACATTGTCAGGTTCACTGAATCATCATTTTTTGAAACGTAACTCTTCCACAGATGTCTTTGAAAGCAATGGAGACCAGCTAGACCCTTCAACTGGACCTCTGAGGACTCGGCGCTCTTCTGCTAGACTCTCAAATCGAAATTCTGAAGTCAAAGGCCTAGAGACTAAGACAAAGCAAGGAAAACGGCTCAGCGGACCACTTGGACCTCGTCACGCCGTTCCAAGATCAGCTCGTTGCAAGGAGACTGACATCCCAGAGAATGAAAAGTCTTTACCTTCAGTTGGTTCAAAAACCACGCCTGCCAGTACAAACCGCCGCTGGAAATTGTCTCATACTACTGCTAATCCGTTGGGATTGCGAATTTCTAAACCACGACATTTGCCAACACCTCCAACCATACCTACGAAAAAAAAATCAATCAATTATCAGACTTAGACAAAGCCAGCAAAAAGAGTGATGAAGACCCAGCAAGCCCTGCTTACTGTCCCCCCGACGAGGCTGAATCGGATGATGATTTTGTCAAAACTAATCAACCACCTTTGAACGGCAAAGCCCCTTCTGAAAAGGGGAAAACGTTAAGAAGAAGGATGCGTCATAGAAAGTTTCAGCTCAATTCTTCTGACTCAGAGAACAATTCGGCAGAAAAAACACATAGTTCTCTCCCCTCCGGTCAGCAATCAAGTGAAGATACCTCAGATCTTCACGAAACATCCAACTTCCGAACTTCTCCTATTCTTACAAGAGCAACTACTGGTTCAATATTGTTTCCGGATTCCGAAGACGATGAAGAAAACGAGCCAGTCTCTTTTCCAGTACTAAAACGAAGGAAAGGTAAATCTCGTGCTAAAAATCAAGAGCATCCAAGCGAAGATGAAGAATTTTTTGGGCAAAAAAGCATGCTAGGTGGTGATTGTTTGTCTTCTAATGATGGTAGTCCTATTGTAAACGAGATTGAAGAAGAGTGGGATGCAGGGAACCTGTTTGGCGAGGGTGTTGGCTCGCCTGGCACAAAGTCTAACTCACAGTCAAACAAAGACAACGCCCATCAGACTCGACAAGAATCTCAATCACGTAGTCTTCTAGGATTGGAGCATTTCAGATCTGAACTTGTTGATTTGAGGTCACTATGCACTGACAATGCACAACAAATTGCGTCATTGAGCAATAAGTTTGATGTGTTTGCTGACCTGCTACGGGAATCGCTGAAACAGCGTGAACCTACAAGATCTACCGAAAGGGAGCCTGGGGGAGAGGCTTTTGGAGATTTGACAGCGGATGACAGTCCTTCTCAGCCGGCTAGAGCTTCCAGAATGAGAGTCAGTCTGCTTGTTTCAGAATCTCGTTTTTTTCAAAGATAGGACCTTTTCAGCTAACCCCTTTCTAATAGGTTTTGATAAAAAATCTCATCAGGACGCTTTATGGGCTAAGGAAGGAAGACAAAATTGTTCCTCACGGCGCTACTCCTGCCGAACAAAGAAAATGGATTGCGCATATCTCAATTCAAGAATTGCTCGACAACGCCCATGAACTTCCAGGATCCGACCAGCTGTCTGTTCCTTGAACAGGAGATCCTCATTTCCCCTATCCAGGGGGTCCAGGTGGAGAGAAAGCGAGTCCTAGGTCCCTTCAAATTATGTGGGACGTTATGCAGAGAGTTGGAGTTCGGTCCTTTCGTCCAGATTATTCAGAATTGCTTGGCTGTCCTGGGAATATGTTTCTGTTCAAGATGGCGACTGCAATATTCATAAAACTAGTTCAATCTGGGGAATATTCAGGTGTTTCTCCCGATGATCTTGATCAGAAGAAAATATTGGATTTGACAACAAACCATATCAAAGGGACCTGGTTTCGAAAGTGAGTTTGTGCTCACATATTTTCAAGTCTGTAAATTTTTCTGAATCTCAACTTGTTTTACACAGCTATCGTGAACAACGTGAATGGTCTAACCAAAGACTCGAAGCACGAGATAAGCGGAGGCTTCAGAAAAGTCGAGTCAGCAGTGTGAGTTTTCTATCTTTTCTCATCATTGATCAAAATTTGCTTTGCTCATGCCCTCATTTTTGCTTACGCTATAAATCCAGGTCCTGAAAGGCAGACTTGCCTATGTCACAGCCCACAAATCCTTGTGGCCGCTTTTGAAAGTTGTAGAGCAATGCTGTAGCGATGATGAAACCGACTATGAAGATGAAGAAGGTCGCAAGCATTGTAAGGTTCGTATTATACAATGGAGAAGCTCTCAGTTAGATTCAATATTTGAAGCTATAGATGAAGCCAGAGTGCAAAACAACTCCATAAAAACATCCCCTGGAGTTCAAGCTAGAATACGCCGCCGTAGTTTTAGTAACCCAATCAGTGACCTAGCTCCGCCTGATGAGATTAACAAAGATTGCATATCTCAAGCCTATTATGACCAGCTTGATGAAATGGAGAAGGCTGAAATCAAGATCATCAATAAATCAATCTTACGTCCAGTCAAGGAGATGATAGCCAAAAAACTCCTGCCGTCCAATCATTGATGTTGTCTGTAATAAAATCATTTGAATTCCAATGTGTATTGTCTTCTTGTTCTCAATCAATAGTCTCTTTATAATTTTATTTGTAAATCACATTAACTAATTCTGGGGCCCCAAAGATTTTGACTGAGCATATTAAATGCAGACCAATAAAATGGCTTCTAAATATATTTCATTTTCAACATGTGAAAAGTCTGAAGTTGCCATCTTTTGCATGCGCCCCGCAGCAGGGATTCTTCTGCTTCCTTCCCCTCTGCTATCCAGATTTGGAACTCCAACTCTAACAGTTTTGATCTCTGGTCTTAAAGATCGCTGACGCCTTCTCTGTCAAATTCCACAACCCAGCACGTCTGAATCAACATCTAGCCTATCCTCATTCCATCAAACTACATTATGCGGACATATCTCTGTCTCTGCTTGACATGCATCAAATCAACACATTTTCATAATGGAAAAAACACCAAGGATTGCAGGTCACACGCGATACTTATGCTTCTCATCAGTTGAACGATCAAAAGTTGAAGGTAGTTGAAGCGCTTGACAAGGTTCTTGATGACTCTGAAGATTCAAATTCTTCTGGAGATTCCAATGACGACGATCCATGGCCACCAGACAGAAACTCGAATTTGCTTCACCAACCTGGAGCCTCCTCATCAACTCGCTCCAACTTGGAACCTAGCTCCCATATGAATAATGAGATGGAGATTGATGACGATATTACTAAATTTGATCCAAGAAAGTGCCATCCAGCTTATCCACATTCATGTCGATCAAATGATAGCGCTAATACGTCTCTCTTCAAACCCACAGGCAATTTCATCACTCATACGCTAGAGGGGGACAATCCCATTGTTGTTCACACATCTTTAATTGCATCATGTATGGCTATCTTCGACCATACCTCGCTCAGTAAATCATCCTGGCTTCTACAAGCACAAAAAAACAACATCGAAATCCATATAACATCTTCCGGCTTTACTCCTGAAGATGTATCTCAGCAAATCGAATACACAACTCAGCTTGCAATACAACGGATGCCAAGCACAATCCAAACTGTTATGCAATGGTTAAAGATAGATCCTATGTTGTAATATTATACTTGTTGCCCAGAGTGTTTTGCCCTTTATCCATTAGACTGCTCTTACACTATATGTCGCTATCTTCACGATCAGGTTCCAGGAACTCTAGAGCTTTTAGAGCAAAACAATAAACAACTCGTGCAACAAAACTCGCCCAGTCAATCAAAAGAAAGCCCAAAAATCTGCTCAACGCCTCTCTTTCAATCAAATGGCCGCCCAATCCAAAAGTATGCTGTTCAAGACTTGATCACTTGGATTGCTCGTCTAATCTCGCGACCCCATATGGAAGAAGGACTCGACAAGTCACTTTCAGAATCACAAAAACCTTTTAATAGAGAAGACACTATCAATGACATCCATCAAACAAAGATCTGGAAAACATTTTGTGGACCAGATGGTGTTCAATTTACATCAAAGTCAGGAAACATGACATTTGCAATGTACACAGACGGTATAAATCCTTACGGAAACAAGTCCAAGGGGCATAGAGCAACTGATACATTCATTGTCTTGATATGCTTGACATTACCCTACGCTACCCGATTCCTGCCTGAAAATATATATCTTGCTGCGATTGCACCTGGACCTCACGAGCCTGGACTTGAGCAATTCAATTGGATTCTAGGGCCTGTTATTGCTGATCTGAAAGAACTTTGGCATAGTGGACTTTTCTTAACCAAAACACCTCGCTACCCAGATGGCCGGCTTATTCAAGTGGGATTATTAACATTCATAGCAGATCTACCAGCATGTCGTTGAGCACTTGGTTTGGCAGGCCACAGTGCCGATGCGTTCTGCTCGCTTTGTTACCTTCCTAGATCAGAAATTGATAATATTGATCAGAGTACTTGGGTACCACGAACTTCAGAGGAACATAGAGCCTGGGCGACTGCTGCACGTGATGCACCCACAGCTAAAGAACGTGAAAAGATTTTTAAAGAACATGATGTTCGGTATTCAGTCATCCTAGAGTTAGACTACTGGAAGGTCACAGATTATCACGTTATAGACTCAATGCATAATATTATTCTAGGTCTCCTTGCTCGCCATGTGACACGATTTTGGGCAATGTCTGAAGATGTTCTCAACACCGCTCCTATAAAACCAATGACAGCAATCCAAATTTGGGATTTAGTTGCAAGCTCGAAGACACGAATCAGACAGCGTTCTACTCATGATCAACCTGAAGACGAAGCTGGTATATCCATAGTGGAGGCGCAATTAGGAGTGGACACATCATCTGGTGATGATTCCTTCGACCCACTGGATGATTGTTACTATGGTTGGGATGGGAGCTATTCTCACCCTCCCAAAAACAAAGTAGTATTTGATTTGAATATGGTTCAGTCAATAAACAAATTATTACCTAGAGTACATGTACCTACTTGTATATCACGTCCTATCAAGCAGCTTGGTGACCAAGGTCATGGAAAGTTGAAAGCAGATGAATGGAGAACGCTGGTGACTGTTCAGCTACCTCTTGTTTTGACTGTGTTATGGACTGGTTCAAGCAAGTCAAATGCAGCTTTACTTCATAACTTTTCTCACTTAGTATGCTTGACAAAGCTGGCGCTCAAACGATCCATGACCTCTGATTGCATTTCGAAATATCGAGCTCATCTTCAAACATACCTTCAAGGATGCCTCAAGCTTTTCCCGCACTGTTCTCTGGTCCCAAATCATCACATGGCAATTCATCTTGCTGACTGCCTCGAGAACTTTGGACCTGTGCGATCTTGGTGGGCATATCCCTTTGAGAGGTTGATGGGATCAATCCTCAAAGCAGCACATAATAATCATCTTGGTAAGTCAAGGTCACAATTTTTGATCAAGTAGATTGGTTTATTCACTGACATTAAAATTTTGAAAGGTGAAATGGAAGTGACTTTTGTTAAAAGCTTTTGTTGTATGGGGAATCTGGCAGCCTTACTGCAAGATGAGACCAAGCTTCCGCAGGGCTTGAGACCATATGCTAGTCAGCTACGAAGGATATTCGAGCCACTAGACTCTTCTCTCAAATCTAATAATATATTCGCCTCTGAATCACTGGATGATGAAACTGTAGATCAATTGGTTTCTCGCTTGAATGCAATTCGCGCTGATGATAAATATTGGAGATCTTCCAGCGAGTGGTGCAAGATGTCCACAGAAGAAAGAAAGAAATTCTCGCCAGTCTCTTCTCAAGCACAGTTTAAGAATGGAATTGAACACAATGGGGTGCATTACCAGACTTACAACAAGAATCCTAATAACAGTGTGATCCATGTCATCTCTCGATCAAATGGAGCTACTCTGTTTGGAAAGATTGTCAAAATATTCACCCATCAACGCTCCCCAGAAGACACCCAAGCTCCTGTTAGTGACACATGGCTCCTGGTACGATACTATGCACCTGTTCCTGAAGCGATGCCAAATCCATTCACTTGTCTTGGTGAGCCTGACCTAGAAGCACACCTACGGCTCGAAACTACTAGTAAACCATATTTAACACACATTGATGAGGTTATTGCGCACTGCGCTTGGATAGTTTTTGAACAGGGGGAGGTACACTATCTTCTTGACAAGAAGAGTATTGCTGTCATCTCACTAAGCCGCTAGACATATTGTCACTCAAGACACATATTGAGTTTTGTCATTACTCTTATCTTGTTTGTCTCTTTTGAAATTTATCTTTTCATTGTCTTATCCAGAATGAATTAACTCTGTACTCACCATGTGATCTCTCACTTCCTGCCTCCTCAAGATATTTGAGATTACAAGGGAATTGTCCCTCAATCTTTTTGTGAGGAAATTGTAATAAAGTATGTGGATTCCCTAAATCCACTCTGAGGATCTTTCACTATTATTCAAAAAAGTATTCAAACAAATTTTCACTCAGGAAAACTCTGCTGTCACATGGTTTTGTATCACCAACTGCACATCATTACTTTGAAACATATATAGTAAAAAAAGTACACAAAATGTGCACATCTCCATACCCACAAGTGGACTACAAGTGGGCTCCCCCATGCTTATTCAGCTTAAATATGTACTGGATGATAATTTTCAGAGCTACATACTACCACATCAGGGTAGAAGCTACACATGTTGTCTCAAATTTATGTTTAGATTACATATGTAGCTCCACATGATTGTAGATGCTACATGTGTAGTCTGATATGTTTGTCTGTATTGACGGAATAGTGCCAAGCATTCATCCAGGCTACACATATAGTCTTATGTGGTTGTTTAGATTACATATATGGTGTTACACATTTGTTGAAGCTACATGTAACATGTGTAGCCTCAAGTATGGGCTTATATTGGGGCTAAGACCTGGCCCTGGCCCCCTCACCCAAGCCCGTAAGATCCCCGTTTAAATACCAGCAGGATAAATCCTGAGCGCCCTCAACTCCCCCTGAGGAGCCTTGGAGCCTTGGAAGCTGTGTCTTGTGCCAGTTCTTCCAGGATGCTGGCTGACAGTATTGATCCTATGTGCCAAATACAACTTCAAGCCGGCCCTGGTATTCTCAAGGAAGTGTGGTCCTGACAGGGCTGGGAGATGTCCTGGGGCTGGGTTATGACCCAGCTTAGATTACATATATACTGTTCCACATGGTTGTAGAGGCTACATATGTAATCTCAGATATTTCCGAAAATTAGATACATGGCGCCACATGTTTGTTCAGGCTACACATGTAGTCATGGAAACTTATTTCGGCTACATACATAGTGCCACATGTTTGATGGAGCTGTAAATGTAGTCCCAAATTATTGGTTGGATTACATATGTGGCATTAAGTGCTTTTTCAAGGTACATATGTAGTGGAAGATGAACCCCCTGTTAAACATTCTCTGGAAAAGGTGGGGTTTTTAGGAAGGGTGAATCCAAACTCTGGCCCTGACAAAAATTTTGGGACAGCTCAGTGGCTCAGTTTCACCTTGAATTCTGATGCTTGAATTGTTTTCCATTCAATTTCCAACCCAGGGATTTTTATTGATTGTTTTCCCTGGAAGGGTTCATTTTCCACTTGTGGAAGTTGATTAATTTTCACAGTGTGTACAGTTCTTCAGTCACCACTCTTATCACAATATCAGTCTTACAATTTTTGAAATATATCACTCTTGCTTGAACAACAACATTGAAAGACTTTTCCAGGCTTATCTGTAAGTTTTGATGTCCCTTTTTTGGTGGGCTGATCAAGCGGTGGACCTGTTTGGCTGGAGTGCGTGCGTCTTGCCTTGTTTTCACAACAATACCAGGCAAAAAAATCAGGAATTTCATCATGACATGGCTTCAAGACTTGAATTTGGCTTGCAACTCATGTATATACACACTCATATCTACACAATTTTATTGACCCATCAAGCAACAGATTCAAGCTCCCAAGACAAGAGCAAACCGCGAATATTTTGATGCCAAATACAAAGGTAGATAAGCAAACAAACACATTTTGCTGATTTTCTTCATGTCATTGTGATCACCAACTGCGACTATAGCTTCAAGCACCAATAGAAAAAAAACTGGGTCAATTAACACCAAGGTTGCTTACATCATTTGTACTTTCCACTTCCGTTCCTCAAACCCATAAACTAACTTTCTGATCCGTCTATTCTTATCAAAATAACAAAATCAACAAGATTATTGAAAAAGGCCAGCTGACTCAAAAAATACAGCACTTCTAGACGGCACTTTGGTTGACGCAACATCCAGGTAAGTCTCATATCATATTTCCAATCTAGCTAGGCTCAATTATGACCTAGCGACCAATCTCTTTCTTTGCACCGTTGTGCCCTCTGTACGTAGAAACAAACTCTGGCCTTGCTGTTCACTGGAAAAGTTTGTGCTACTGCATAGCAGAATCCGGATCCCCAGCTGCGTTTTTACCCATGTCTCTGTGGTCTCCTCTTCCGCCAATCTCGCTTATTGGCTAACCGTTGCCCAGCAAAAACTCCTTTCCATTGCTGCAAACTGTAAACTGAAGATCAAGCAGGACATGGAAATTTATGTGTGTCCTGCAACAAAACCGCCGGGTTTGCATATGGCTGGTTGCGCATTCCAATGGCAGTATGTACAATAGTTTTGATACAAGACAATGCTCAGTACTTACTGCAGCCTTTCTCTTCATACAGACCTCCTTGAAGTTGCTGTTGACTCTCCTGATATGTTACTCAACTAAGCTAATGCCACTAACAAAGCTTCAGGTGAGTTAGCCAACATGTCATTGAATGAACTCCTGGGTTTAATTGTTGTCCTTGAAATCATATTGGATCTTTATTTTCTTGGCATTCATCATTGTCTTTGGCACATTACCTGCTCTGAACAACTTTTTGACTGAGACTATTATTCATGTGCAAGCGCACAGCACCGCTTGGTTACTCTCATGACTCTTATCTTACATCATCCCTCTTTGAGTCATTCCTGCTCTCATGATGGGTATCATGATGCATGGTTGGACTGAACTCTTCATCTGAACATGTCCTGGAATTTCTTTTAGTCGTCCTCCAATCAAGCATTGTTTGAATGTTCTACAACTAATTCCTAGCAACAGTCTGTAGATAACCAGTTTTAGTGATTACAGATGGCTCTTACTGTTTTCCTTGTCAAAGTTTCTTCATTCATTCCGCTGCTCAGGAGGATACCAGATGTTGCTCCTTTCAAATTCTCTCTGGAGGCCTTGCCAGTGAATCAGGTTTGAATTGGACTGATGATTCTGAATCATCAGTTGTGGGTGTATTTATGACAAAATGATGAGATTTGTGTTTGGACTGTGAATCATTTTATTCTTTCTATGCACTTCCAAATATTTTGAAAATCAAAAGGAAAGAGGAACTCATATAGGTGTTATACAAAGTTTTTGATAGAATAAGAAAACATCCACATACCCACACAAAGATGTAAGCAGAAAGCCTCTTCTTCATGTTCTCCATCGCAGATCAATTTGAACAATTAAAAGAAGTGGGATCTGAAAGTTTTTTACAATACCTGAGATATGCTAGAGGATTTCCCAACCTCGGATTGTTGCTTTCATTGGGCTTGATTCAAGATCTTTGTCAATAGATCCAGCTTTAACCTGCTGACCTTCCCTGTGATTGATCTGTTTTCTTGGGATTTCCATATTCATAGCGTGCTCTGGAATATCACTAGTAATAGGGATATTCATCTCAGTTTTAAATCAAATCCAAACAACTTTAAATCCATTCAAAAAAGGGTTTGACTTCCTTTGGATACCTCAACTTCAAATCCAAATCCAAATTAAGTAGTTTGAATTCTTTTGTTTGACTTTGATTTTACAATCAGATTTGATCCTGCTCCCACCACGGACTCCAATATCTAGTGGCAAAGTCTTATTCAAATTCAAGAAGGCTCTACTCAATGCCTCCAAAACGACCAATCAGCATTCCAAGTATCTTCTGTCAATGCAAAGACTGTAACAAACATGGCTCTTATACTGACCCAAAGAGCGGGATCAAAGGTTTCCTTTGGGATCAGGTCAATTTTAAAAAGCACCAAGCAAATCTTCAACACCAACCTCTTGACCCTCTGCTCAACAACTCTTGCTCTGATTCAAAGCATCCTTATGCAGCAATCAAAGTGGTTTCCGAAACTGGACTCAACCCTGGTACAAGTAACTACAAATCAAACTCTAGCCATAAACGTTTGGATCTCACTCAAAATGGTGAGATATTGTTCCTTGCTAAACCTGTTTCAACAATCTACCTGACTTGGCCCTTTCCAGCCTGGAAGCCTAAAAGGTCTGATATCAGGGAAGCTCAACATAACCCAGAAGGCCCTTCGACTCCTCACATCGAGTGTCTGTTCCCTGGACTAGTCAAAGATATTCTGGTACCTTCAATCTTCCTCTCAGGTTTGCACATTCTCTCTTTGTGGTGCGCCATGACACCATACCTACACAGTATCATAATTGACGGATGCCATTTTGATGTTAATGTATCCCAGGTTCATATCAGCACTGTACTTTACGCCTGCTAGATGAGCAACACAGCCACAGTTAATGTACTGGTAAAGTATTGTCAATACTAGTACAGTACCTGGCTTTTTGGATACTACAAATGAAGGTACTTGGTACAGTACCTTGCACCAGATACAGTACTCCGTACAGTACCTAAAATATAGGTACCGTAAAAAATGCCCAGCAGTAAAGTAACTTCGTGTTCTGCTAGGTACTGTACTATACTGGTATCTCAGGTTTGCAGATAGGTACTGTACTTTACAGTACCTATGGCAGGTGCTGCCCAGTATCTCACCGTACCTTGAGTTGGTACCCGGCACATTGGGTGTATTGAAAGGCTTAAGAAATGATAACTAAGTTGCTTATTTATATATAAATCATTGATTAGGTAATATATATCAGTAGAGAGTGAAACTGAAAACAAACATACTACTATAGTGCTGGGAGGAAAGGGGATTGATCAAGAAAATCAAAAATACAGGTACTGTTGACTACTGTACCAGTATAGTACCTATATTTTAGGTACTGGCAGGGACCGGTATTGTACCTTCCGCGGCGGTACTGTACTTGGTACAGTACCTATACTAAAATTTCAAAAATATTTGCCCTCCAGTACAGTAGTGCTCACCTAGGTACAATACTGGCAGGTACTGTACCAGGAAAATCAGGTACTATACTGTACTTTACCGGTACTGGTATAGTAACTGTGGCTGCGTTGAGATGAGTCTTTTGATATCTTGGGACCTATCCTTTTGGCAAGCTGTCAATATCTCTTGCACCGTGTTAGCATGAGAACTGCAAACTCAACTCTGAAGGTCACTAGTGGTATCTACGATCTGAAATGTGACACCAACAATTCTTCAAGAAAAATACCCACTGACATACGATCTATACTAAAAAAATCTCATTCTTCAACCAAAACTGTCCTGATGTATCTGCCGCCCTAAATGTTTCAGCTTGTATCCCATCCATGGCGCGCCCATCCAGTGTCTACATTGGGAGACGCCTCAAAGTAACAAATGCAATGAGCCTCTTTTCATGGATCGAAAGGGGTATAGTCACCTCAAACCTGTACCATGTCGGCTTTATACGACCTACCCACTCTGTGAATGGCTTGCCCAATTCCTCAATTGGCCTGGAATGGAAGATTTGCTTGATATGTCACTCCAAGATAGGCCTTGAAACTATGGCCTCATGTATGATGTGTGGGACTCACCAAGGTGGACAAAGGAGAAGAATCATGATGGGACCCCTTTCACCTCCACAAGTGGAAATTTAGCATTTTCTCTGGGAGTGGATTGGTTCAATCCTTGGGGGAACAAAGCTGTAGGGAAATCAGCTTCTTTAGGTGCAATTGTTCTTACCGGTTTGAACCTTCCTCTTTCACATAGATATCAAGAGGAAAACATCTACATTGCTGGCATCATCCCGGGCCCCAAAGAGCCCAATGTGGTCCAAGTTCAACATGTCTTACGTCCCGTGGTACAGGATCTCCTTCAGCTTTGGGATGGTGTGCATTGTTCTAGCACAGCGCGTGCTCCAAAAGAGGGACGTGTCTTCAGAGGAATGGTCATTCAAATCATTTGTGATCTTGTAGGAGCCAGAAAGGTTATGGGATTAGCAGCCCACAGTACAACTAACAATCCATGTTCTTTATGTGATGTTACAAAAATTGAGCTTGAGATGCTTGACCTGTCAATCTTCTCCCGCAAGACCAACACCGGTATTAGAGAAGCTGCATTGGATTGGTATCAAGCAACAACTCTAGCCAACCGCAAACGTCTGTTTGACCAGAATGGGGTCCGCTACTCACCTTTACTGGAACTTCCTTACCTACTTCCAATTAGCCATGTGGTAGTTGAACCAATGCACAACATCATTCTTGGAATCTTGAGGTATCACGGACAGGCCTTGATGGGGCTGAAAATTGACAAGAAAGCAATGGCAATTGATTATGATGATGATTCAGAATCTGAAGATGAAGACAAATTAGATATGAATGATATACAAGAGGAGTTGGATGCGGAACTGGAAGAGCTGAAGATCAGACCTGACATCGACTTGAATCTTGAAGATTACCACCACCATTTGAATCATACTGCCTCAAATGGTGGGACCCAGACCAAGAAAGGCTCTGACAACCACGAGCATTATGATAGTGACAAAGAAAACGACTTGGACTACTGTGCAACAGGACTCCAGCATGAAAAGGATCGTTCAAGCAGCTTGTCCTCCAAACGAATAGAAGATTTGCCTCTTCTGTTCACTGATAAACATATGTTCAAGTTGTTATTGACTGTCATTGGTGAAATAAATCTCCTGACTTGGATTGGACAAGTACCAAGGACAGTGGGGCAAGCTTGTGGAGGAAAATTGAAGGCTGATGAGTGGGCTAATTTGTTTACACTCATCTTGATCCCAGTTCTGGGGAAAGTCTACACTGAAGCAACCAATAACACTAAGACTTGTCTGCTTCACAACTTTTTCCATCTTGTCAGTGCAGCCAATTTGATTTGTAGCCCTGTAACAAATCAACAACATGTGAACTCTTTGAAGATGCATATTCAGTAGTACCGAGCAAATCTGCACCAGCTTTTTCCTCAAATGCATCCAAGACCCAATCATCACATGGCTTTGCACATCCCAGAGGCAATGGCGCACTTTGGACCCGCTTCAGTGTGGACAATGTGGGTACATGAACGTACAAATGGGGTCCTTCGCATGATACCCAACAATCATCAGATTTGTAAGCACTTTCTCAATGCAGAAACACATTACACAGCTACTAATTACATTTTATCTCAAATGTATTTTACAGGGGCTTTGGATCTCACACTACTAAGACGCTTTGTGATTTCTGCTAATCTGAAAAGTCAACTCCCCAAATTTAGTGAAAAGCTTCCTGAACCTCTGAAAACTTCTATCTTCGATTTCTTGGGGCCTACAAATGCTAATGGCTCCCATCATGATTGTTCCAATAACCCTAAGTGGCCACCGGCTAGTCAGAAACTTGTACACTTAGGTCAGCGGGTTTGTGCAAAGCTTATATCAAGACTACAGAAGGTTGAAAAACTCTCAATTCACATTGGGAACTCTGGTGTGCAAGCCGACAAAGTTGTTACACCACCTTTGGTGTTGCCAATGAATTCTTTCAAATATCAAGGAAGAGACTATTCAGTAAGCACTCATAGTGTAGGCAATGGTACTATCAAGTATTGTGTCTTACAAGCCAACAGTGCCTGTAGAAAATCCTATGGCTCTATCCGTCAGATATTCACCATAGCATACGGAGAACGCTCTTCTCGGGTACAAGAAACATGGCTTGAAGTTCAACCGTTCAGAGAGCTGACAGATTTGGATAAACCTCCCAACCCCTACGCAGGATGGCCAAATATCAAAACCAAATTAGCATATATGCACAAAGCTGGTGACACAGATTGTGCTTCAAGGGATTCTGCTAGCTGGCACATCATAAAATGCTCCAAAATAATTAGTCACAGCTCTCTCTATGTAGCACCTGGGGGTTCAATCAGTATACAACAGGCAGCTGCCATCCTCACCGAACTTGTGAATCACACAAGGTACTCATTCCCAAAAATTTGATCATAAAATTACTGCTCACAATCACGATTCAGTCTTTATTTGCTTTTGGAGGATACAGCATATCACTGGACTCTTGTAGAAGGGGTGTCCCCTTGGCTGTCATCAATCTCTAATATACCTAGCTCATTCTTGTAACAGATATAATGTGTGGTTGGAGCGTTGAGAATGGATGTTTCCAAAAATTCTTTCTCTGAAATCTTGTTCTCATTTAGCAAATGACTTGTCTAACCCAAATCTTTTGTTTCAAAATGGCTACGCCTGCCTTGCTTGTCTCCATGCAATGGATGTTGTCATCTATGTTAGTTGAAGATAAGCTATGAATCATTTACTTAAATGGGAAGGTGATGAACACACCTCTGCGTGAGTGCTACTGATGTGTGCCCCTGTCTCATCGTGAACGCGTTTGACAACATCTCTGCATAAACTTCCCAGCTCCAGATTGTTCCTAGTGTCTTCTGATATGGTTTGAACGTGTTCTGAAAGGCTCCTCTGGATTAGGTTACAGTCAATGTCATGAATATTCTCCCTAGCCAAACCTGTCACAATCTACTTGTCAGAAACAATATGGAACATCAGCAACAAGTCCACATACATATATCAATGACAACCTTACCTGTGATTTCATTTTCCATACGTTCACATTTGTTTAATCGAGTTTTTGTACTGGGGACTGGATTTATGACATGATATCCTTATGAGTATTGCAAAATTCTGGTTGTTTCACTGGATCCGTGAGGTCAGAGTTGCACCAGGCAGTTGATTTTTCCATTTCCTGGCGGTCACAAACAATACATCATGATGATCATTTTTGATCCTTTTTGCAAAATCTTGAAAGTTGCCAAGATACCCAAAGAATCAAGGATAGTCGTACACACTTTGTCAGCCCTGAGCCCTAATTACAGGACCATGGGCTAACAGTACCATATGAACACCAAAATATTGTATAAAGCCATAAGCTACATCTCAAGGCTCAGTGTCAAGAGCCACTTAAACACATGTATGTAATGTATTAAATACATAGTAAACCTAACCCAAGTGTCAACCACAAATTGACACGTGAATAGACAAGACTCACATGCCAACCACAAGTTGACACTGGAACTGAGACTATATAAACCCCCCCTTCTTCCCTAGAATCACCCCCCATCTTTTACTACAATCACAACACAGAACCACATTTTACTTGACTCCTACTGAGAGGATCTTCAAGTACGTGGTTAGTTGTGTAGCTTGTTAAAGACCATTCTTGAGCATTACGGGTTCCATTGCTGAACACCCAAGGTACTGATTTCTACGAGCCCAGGGCATTCATTGTCTCTAGAAATAAACCTTAAAGTAGCAAGGCTTCCTCCTCTTTAAGGAGTCTAAAGTAGCCTTCAGGATCTTTGGTTTACCAAAGTGTAAAGCCTGCCCCTCACAGTCTCACGAGGTTAGAGCACATTAGCTCTTTATTGCCCTTATCTTTCCTTTCCCTTTCTCAAATCCTCTTCTTGGAGGTCAACTAGCTGTAGTCTTCACTTGGGTGTACCACATGAAGACCACACCTACCTTTTCCTACTCTATTTTCTGTGAAGAGTACACCTAACAGAGGCGTACTCCTCACACACTTGAGTTCCACCTCAAGAACCATACAGCTTCAAAATACATTGCCCTCATATATACAGCACTCTATTGTGTTTTGAGCTCAAAATATATACTAGGTATGATCTGAAGAGAATTTGCTATTGAGCAAAGTTCCATGAGTTTGAAATGTGACATTTGGCTTCGAAGGGGTGGGCCTCAAGAGATCATTGGCAGAATCAATGTCTGAGCTTACCACACGGGCCTAGTTGAACGAACTAAATTAAGAAGGAAACCATGATGCACAAAAATGTTATGAAAGAGAAGACACAATGGGTATATGATCTATTCAAGTACAACCTAGGATGCATGCAAATGATGTATTAAAGAAATCAAAGCTCATATTCAATTGGATAGTCAAGCTTTCAAATTTTCACATTGTCTTGAATTTTTTTGATCTTATCTAGAAGTTCATCTCTGCTTGTATAATACTTTGAGAATTCCCACTGCAATGAAGTATGGCTACTCCTAAATCTCATTTGACCATGATCACGATTGTTACCCTCATAATGATGCGTTGTTTTACCGCACATGAGGGGATCCTACCAAAGAAGAATTAATCTCAAGAACCGTTTTTGAAAATTTGATGACCAAATTAACTTACAAGAGACAAATAATTGACGCAAAGCGTTGATACATCAAGATCCCTCAGTTTGGTATTGGTCAGGGAATTCTCTTCAATCCGCAATTAGTCACTTTGACATAATGATTGATTGGAATTTTTTCTGCAATAAAGTTCTTGTTTCCTGCTGTCCTCAAGTTCAGGACGCGCCATTGAAACCTTGTAACACCATTTTCAAGTTGAATCACTCTCAAGCTCTTCAAGTAAATAGCTTTTGTTGATATGGGTTCGGATATCTTTTACACATTTAGTCACTATGATTTTCAAGTGGACCACAGCTAAGTTCATCCAAGAATCAAATTTGATATACTTTTGCAATATACTATATTTGGGGTGTATGTACGGTCCAATGTAGATGAAATGGCTTTCCAAATTCCATGAAAGACCCAAGGAGCGTTAAAGATGATCAGCATTTGTAATGACTACATTGGAGAGAAGCCATATCAGTAATTGATGCTGTTTGGAGGATAGACAAACAGAAAAATCGACCTAGGGGTAATACACAAGACATTTCTTCAGAAAAATCATAGCCTTCCAATCTACGTTCACCAACCCAAATCCGCTGAATGAGTTTGTTCAATTCGTCGGTTGCCAGGATCTGGACAAGGAGAGGAATTGGAACGCACACAAGCTCAATCACAACAGTGATTTTGGGCTTCAGATTGATAGTAAACATTTGAATACTTTCCATGGCATAAACAACCGGTTAGGAGATTTTTACACTCAACCTTTTACACTTGATATTGAGTGTAAATTTGGTTTTGTGTAAAAATTCATGTTACAGGTGTGTAAATACATTTTTACACTCAATCCGGCCAAATTTGTAGAGTGCAAGTATTTTGTGTGCAAAGGGATGAGTGTAAAAATTCATGTTACCCACCAAAACATACAATTTTACACTCTTTTTTTTACACTACATATTGAGTGTAACAAAAAGGAGTGTAAAAGTCCGTATAGGGCGGAAATGTCCAAATTTACACTCCATCTCATTTACACTCAATCATAAGTGCAAAGCCTCTGAGTGTAGATTTCAAGTGACATACCACTTACATTCATTTTTACACACATTGGACTTGGCGAAAAAATACGTTGAAGTTTTGACTTAGCCAAAATTGTTCAGCGTGTTCTCTTATCTCAAGATTGCCCTCAGTTTCCTTAAGGAGCTTCATGTTCCACATGGTGCTGGGAGTTTTTCCACCGCTTAATTGGCCCATATCATTTAATCAAGGGCTCCCATTGAACTCACAACACAAGATACAAATAGAGAGAGAAGAGAAACCACAGTCTAATGACTCCCGCGCTTACCTTTGCAATCATGATCAAGGAACAAAAAGAGAAACATTGAAGGTGAAACACAAGGACAAATCAAGGAACTATTTCTTTGCTCCCCCTTTGTTGCTCCTAGCCTTAGCCTTAGCCTTAGCCTTCGCCTTTGGCTCAACCTTGACTTCAACTGAGATGTCTCCCTCTTCTTGAACACCAATACCATCATCTGCCTTAGCAGCGTGTTTTTGGGTCTTGGAGGGTCTCTTAGAATTCTTCACCACATTTTTCTCAGGTGAAGGAGAAGCAGATTTGCTCGGACTCGCATTGGGGACCGGTCGTTTGATACTGAAGCGGAGCTTGATGCTTTCTTGGATGGGTTCTTTTGGCTCGGGGCCAGAGATGCTGGCCGGAGGATTTATGTGTTGAGTAGGAGGGTTATTGATCCCAGAATTAGCTGGCGGAGACAGGGCTTTTAGATCCTCCTGACCTGAAAGATCATCATCAAAACCGTTGTCGAGGTGTGAATTAGCCACAAGTTGACTTGATTCAAGGATTTTGGTATTGACTGCCAAGGTTTGAGTGGAACAAGTCTTGAGTTATTGGATCAAAAGTATGAGCATAAATGAGAGAGCTTACCCGCCAATACAAAGGCTCTCCTGGCCTTGTTTGTTGCTGGTGCATTTGGAGGCGGCGCAGGTATCTTGGTAGCCTGTGAGTCATTTTCAGTCTTGATGGCTGAGTGCAAAGGGAAAGTAGGCTGGTATCAACTACTTCTTAATCAATATGTAAATAACAGTGAAGACTTACCTAAAGAGGTGAATGCTTGCTTCACCACATTAATTGGGCCCGTCTCGATTGATGCTACATTGGAGGGAGGAGAGTCCTCGTCAATCTGATCTTGCATGCCTTCTAAATCGTTGGCTGACACAAATGGTACATTGCCAAGGGCATCAGGGTTCTTGGCGGTGATTTTTGCAATGCCAGCATCAATGATTTTCTGTTCCTCAGTGGTAGGATTTCGTTGGTAGATGAGCCAACTGGTGGATGGTTGGGCTCCTGATATCAAGTCCAGATTGCAACCAAGTAGCTGTGCCTGTCCATCATCTTTGCAATTGTCATAGAACCAAACCCCACGCACCCCATCAAGATACCTGACTAACTTACATCAGTAGTGATTGAAACCCCAAAACCCTTGTGATACAATTTTGTATTCAGTGTTGTTGAGCGTAAATGATTCGAGCCAAACTGTCTCACCCATGAACCTGGTCTGATCGTCGGGTTTGAGGCCCGCAACACCATAAAGGTGAAAATAAACGGTCATAGGTGATGGGGAGAAATCCAAACAGGACCTTTCATAAAACCGAGGGACGTGTTTGGACGGATCAACTTCGAGATATGTCAAGTCGGCAGAGTCATCAGGCTGAGTGGACGTGGGTTGCTGACGATGGTCGGCAAGGCAACTTGGGCAGCACCGCACGCTGGTAGTGAAAAGTCCTTTGGTCTCCCACCGGTGGATCAGCTCAGTCACATCCGAGAATTGCAGGTTAGCTTTGTGTTATCAAGGCCGTCCAATTCTTGATGATGGCCATCATATTGGCTGCATTGATAGTCACGGATAAGCTTATGAGAGAAATGTTGTCCAGCCAAAGTAGGTACACCACCTGGACTCTTGAGTAGATATTTGATGAACAAGTCGGCAGAACAGAAACTATCAGTGATGAAATAACTAGGCGACACTGATTGAATAGCTGAATGAAGGGATCGAAGGCCTCGAGACAGTACTGATTTGATATGAGTGGATCGATGCATCTCAGACAAAAGTCTTGAAGAATAATGATGGATGAGTTTGGATGTGATATACTTGCCCTTGCCCTTGGTACCTTCGACCCACAGAGGTGTAAAGGCTGGCAAGATTGATTCGAGTGCCGCTGTTTGCCAACAGCGGTTTTGCTTACCAAGATCGTTGCTTGCCGAGTAAGATTGGTACAAAGAGTGCAAGTCTCGGTTGACATTCAAGGATCCTGTTGGTCGGCCGGCTTTCTTGGGTCCGACAAGGGCTTCCGTCGTATTGGGGGCTCGTTCATCGTTGACCTCGGGACGGCAGCGGGTGCGTCCTTTTGACCATCCCATGGTCTCAACAACTGAATCCCAATTCGATCCATACTTCACGGGAATGCCACGAAGGAGTTGGTGGTAGTCCTTCTTCAAAGATTCCACGAAGAGTAACAGCTGAATAAAACCCTGGATAATGGTACAATTTCCGGATCTAACAAAGGACCACAGATATATTAGCAAAATTGAGAAGAGAGCTTCATAATGTGCAAGACGTACGTTAAAATATAGTATTGCTGATGCGTGAATTCTTGACCGTTAGTAGTATCGGGAAGCTTGTAATCGTGTAATTCATCTGGTAGTGGTGGATCATCTAGCGGTAACCGTTCTCGCAAGCAGAACAGCATGGTGTGGATGTCCGCCGTATTCCACCAGTCAATCCAGGCTTTGGCTTTGGGAAATAAACGACTGATAGCATCAAATTTGTCCTTCAGAGTCAGTACACCCGGTTTGATGGGCTCCAGTAGATCCAGGGCCATCCGTTCGAAGTCACTCTATTGGTATTGAAAACACAAGGCGAGTCAGTCTCAATATCAAGCAGATTGGAGAGTGTATTGAAAAATAGTGGAATACATGTAAAAGAAAAATACACACCAAGTGACTAGCATCGACAATGTTACGGTTCTTTTTGACTCGAGTTAATGACTGACGAAATTGTTTGTGACATCCCTTCAGCTTATCCAAAGCTTTAGAGGGATCATTTTCGTTGAATACGTCCATATACGCCGCCATATACCCCTTCTTTTGCGCGTGCAAAAAGTCCACCACTTGCTGTACTAACAGTTCCCGCTCATGATAAGTGAGATCAGCTGAATTTATTTGTTGAAGCAAAGTCGTGAAATGTGCCTGATAGTGATTGACATCAAGTCCCCATATCCAGGTGAGGAGAATGGGGATCCAGCGATGTTGCAGGTGGCTGTACATAGCAGTAGTAAGAAGATACCCGTTGCGAAAGAATTGGTAGGTTACATCTGATAGCAACCCGCCCAAATAGACCTTGCCAAATTGGTCCCGACGGACCAGCTGTTCTGACATCCACTCGGACTGGAAGGTGATGTGCATATTCGAACTCAGTAAAGAGGTAGATACCAATCAAAGACCGTTCCTGCCATGGAAAATACAATGTCAATGACCCGGGCAATGAACCAATCCAAATGGAATAGACTGACCTACCCCAGTGAATGAGGTCCAACATAAACCTATCACCTCCTTCTCTGCTTTCCTTTTTGGGCATAAGCCCCTTTTCTACAAGTAGTTTTCGACGTAAGTAAGCTAGCCGGCCGCGTGAGCAAACGCTGGGTGGATATCAGTGACTGGTGGTGTGAAGGTCTGTCCGGTGGCAGCCTGGCCAACCTGCAAAGCGATTTTGGTCAGCCTAGACCCGAGAAAAACAACAAAAAAATGTTGGTATGGAACTAACCTTCAACACCAACGGGCCTGCTTTTGGGTTCCGTACCACCTCTTCCATCAGCTCGTGCATAGCCAAAGGGTTGGCCTTTTTTGCAATTGGCCAAACGTGGTTATGGATCCCCGAGTGGCGAAGAACTGCCCATAGAGTGGCCTTCTCCAGATCGACTCGACAGCTAGACTGAGTACATTGAGTCCAAGTGTGTTTGCCACCACACTCGGCAGCAGGACAGATCGGATGCCTAAAAACAAGCAACGTGAAGAAGCAGTCATATGATTAGAATAACAGTGCTTAGTAGCGTTAGTAAGAGAACGGGATTGGACTGACTCAAAAATAATCTCGGCTGCCTTTCCTTCAGCAGTTGGAGGTGGTGCAGCGTAATCGCATTGACCGTTGTCGCATTTGAGAACGCCAAGGCATGTATACCACGTGGTCTTCCAGGGTCCAGAGCCTTCCTTTGCACCACGGTTCTTCTGTGTGTGAGGGTAAGCAAAATGCCCAAAGTTGGTGATGTTGTCTTTGGGCTCTTGAACGAAGACCGTCTTGCCATTCACAGCCCCCATCTACTGGTCTCTGGCAGGCCAGAGCTTACCACGACTTCAACAAAAATTCAACAAAAATTCAGGAAGATTTCACCAAAACTTTATGCTAGTGTCAGAGAAGCTTCAAGGGAGCTTGAGATGATGCCTGCAAACATCTGAAATCTGAACAGGTTTCCAGACCAAAATTAATCATGAGAGGACCAGTGACCTCCAAGGAACACATCATGTGGCCGCACCTCTCAAAGATGAACAGGATGTATGGCAGCAAACTAACCCCTGACCAATCATTCCATGTCATTTTTCATATGTTTCTGCTTTATTTGATTATTGTGTTTGTGTGCTCTTAGCTCTTGTCTCCCATATGTGACACTTTTTTGATTATAAAGCTCTCTATGAGCCGCCACTAAGCTAGGCCCTCATCTGTTTGAAGCTTTATCTTGATTTTGTCAAAATTACATGTTACAAATATCAACACATAAAGTTTTGGAAGTGATTGGTCTTTTTTCAAAATTACATGTTACAAATACCAAGACATAAAGTCTTGGAAGGGAGAAGCTGATCCAAAGGCAGCATACTTGACATAAGGCAGATGATCAATACAATCCTTGTTCCGGTGAAAAACCCAACAAGCCTGTACAAACCCATACCAAAGGTGTACATACCCAGACTGTTAGGTTTGCATTAAGAGCAGATGCAAGCCCTGATCCGGTCAAAAACCCCGCGGCGTGGGGACTTTCCCGTCCATTCTCAATTGTAACACTTCTATTTTTTCTAATAGACACATTTCCTTCCCTTGCTTAGTTAATTACTAAGTGAGGGAAGGAGTAGATGCGGGCGGTAGGTCTCAAGGAAGTCTCTACTTTCTCGAGACCTGGAATATCTGAGATGTGTACTTAGATATTTCCTGTGGAGAGTTCTGTGTATGAACTCTCTACGGAATGTATCTGCTTGTTCTTAGAGAGTTACCCCTGGGAGTTCTCATCGAAGAACGGTAAACTTTTTGTAGAGAGATTATTTCTACTAGTTTACAGAGTACGTTTCTTCAGTTGGAAGGGGAGGGGCCTAGTTTCCCATTCTCAGGTGGCGGGCCTGAGCCTACTTAGGTTCCTCCCAATCCCGTCGCCTAGTGCATCTTCTCAAGGTAGGATATGTTCAAGAAGTATGGCATTGTGATTTACAACGTACGGATGTAGCGGGAACAGAGTGTCAAAGGAAATATATACAAGATTTCTAGATGGGTCGTGGTTTATAAAAACATGGAGCGAACGGTACAAAAGATGTAACTATGGTTAATCAATGAAAACGTTAGGCATAATCTGGGATTTTGTCTTCAGTTATTCGTAGAATCCGTTTTGCTGCTTCCCATTCTTTCTCGTCCCATTCCCGCTGGTACAGAGCGTGACAAGCTGACTTCCATTGTCCGAGGGTCTTAATCGCGTCAAGGTTAACCGCTGCTTTTGTCAACAGCGTCGCCCCTCCTATTCGGAAAGAGTGGCCAGTTAACTTGGATTCCTTCTTCCAGGATCTTGACATGAGATTCGTCATCGTTTGTCTAGTAATTCCCGTCATTCCATTCTCACTCCACGTGAGGAATAGACGAGGATCCTTTACTTTCTTTAGAAAATTCATTAACCTTTTCAAGGCCTCGACAGGGCATAACACTCCTCCAGTAGCGCGTAGGGACAGGAGTTGAGACTCTCCTGGCGCGGCAGTTTTTGCTTCGCGAATTTTGATTTCCGCCACGTTGTTGCCGTTTTTCACGTAGAACTTGACATCTGATCTTAGTATAGCACTGTGGTCGTGTCTATCGTAGGCCGCGGATTGGTAGGTCAATTCTCCTAATCTGGAAAGACCCCAGTAGGCGACTAGTACTAGAGCTGTGAAGCCTTTCGAATCTAACTCATGTTCTGCAATGTCAGATACGAGAGAGAGGAGGTTCTTGGGGGTTACTGGTTGGCGGTTGATTTTCTGTACAGGAGCATGTGATTCTAGCCTTTTTGAAGCACGTAGTAAAGTCTTCAGGCGTGTAAGTTGTATGTTGGGAAAGTTATAGCCATGGAAGGCGTGCCAGGTTCGCAACGCAGTCAAGTACTTCGTGATCGTGGTGACTTTGACTGGTTTGTTGGTAGCGCGTCTATTGACGTTATGTCCAGCCCAGATAATGAAGTGTTCTACCGTGTCACAAGAAGCTGGGAAGGCGGTCTGTTTCTTAAGGGCGGCGAACAATTTAAATTTCTTGACGCCGGATGAATACGACTCAATGGTTGAGCGGCTCCATCCGGCTCGGATCATGTGCCGTTGAGCTCTGGATAGGGTGCGTTTGACTTTGTCATCGATTCGTAGAAAGGCCTTGATACATCTCATGGTCGACAAGTTGGGTATTGGTTATAAATGAAAGCTGATTTTTAGGTAGGGTATCATTTCAGCTTCTAAATATCTGGAGTATTCATTACTGTCAACCTTGGATGATCGAAGCTTACCTGAAGGTGGCACTGATTTGGTAGAACGGGTTGTGCACGGATATGAGAGAATAGGGCAAGTAGAGGTTCCTCTTAAAGGTTTGGTGTGTATAAGTACGGTCGAAAATAACAGGGGGTTGTCAACACCGCAACCGCTCCGCACGAAAGAGCGTGTGCGGAGCGTGTGCGGAGCGACTTTGGCCTTCGCTACAGCCCCTACTCTGCTGAGCGCAGCCTGCGCACCGCACCCAGGGGCCGAATTTCCCTGAGCGCAGCAAACCGCTACGCACAGGGCTCGCGTCCGAGTTGCTCCGCTCATGAGCGGCGCAAAACCCTTGCAAGGATTCTCGGTCATACATCACTCAAAACTCCCGATGGACGGTGGCGAAGGCGCATGGACCTCCTTCCGAACCAATCATTCAATTTCTACCCACTGGATGACTTTTCATCGATGGCCGATTTGTATTGCAGAGCTACTTTCAAATCCATTTTTGATCCCCTAGAAATCAATCTCATCGATATCCTAGCAATCAAAACATCACTAAAGCACAACCCGAATCGATCCACCATAATTCTATCACACTTCAGGAACATTCATCAATAAAATCAAACAAGACATCACTCTTATGATTTCAAATTTTCAAACCAAATCAAATCCAATCCGACAAACATGTTCATCAAGTTTAGGTCCATTTTCAAGTTTTAAATTGATTTATTCAAACTTGGGTTGGAATTTGATTCATGTATCTGTAATGTATTCATCTCTCAGAACGCTTTGGTTTAGTACTATCATTATATTATTGTAAGTTTCAATCACAATACATAATGGGAAGGTGATGTTGATTAAGTTAATTTCATAATTATCTTGAAGTTTAGATTATCTAAAACATGAAATAGATCCAATCAAACAAATCAATGCTTTATTTTCAATGCATACTTTTTGGGGTACTCAATCTACAATCTTAAATAATGAATTGAATGTGATTATAGATCTGAGTAAGTTCAAATGAACTGTTCCATTTGTCTACTTGTTAAATTTCATCTTCAGAACAAGTCAGTTCAACCACAGATGAGTTGGATCGATGGAAAGAATCGAATTGGAATTTAGAAAGTGGTCGCTTTTTCTTCTTTGGAAAAGTTGTTTTCACATGTTTTTTCTCGTTTATGTTGTGTTACATAGATACATCAGTCTAGCAAAATTGAAGTCGAGTCAATTTTCTTTTTTTTCATCATCAAGGCGATGTGCGCCGCTCATAGCGATGTGCGTAGTGGTTGAACCACTACGCACACCGAAGTACGAACAAAAATAAAAAAAGAGCGATAATGTGCGTAGTGAGATTGAGCGCAGCACTGCGCTCCGCTCCCAAAATAGGTCGAAAACCTGAGCGGAGCGTAGCGGTTGCGGTGTTGGGGTTGTGGGGGTGTAGAAAAAACAGTTGAAAGGTGTGTGGTGAAGTGTAGGATGATCGATTCTCTAGAACTATGACAGGTGAGAGGAGGTGTAGGGTACTCAGAACCTGTGGGGAAGGTGATGTTATAAGAGGGCTTACTGTAGTTGGTCCGTATGTTATGGGAAACTCTACATCTTCTAGCCACCGTTCTAGATCGTCAGGGATAGTGATGTGAACTTGTGCGTAACAAGGCTTGGAGGTAGGAAGGCCGCGTGATAGCTGGTCGGCTGCGTTGTCTAAAGTAGACACGCGACGCTGTTCCAGTTGACAGTTATTTTGAAATAGAAGGGTGGAGATATTCTTACATTCTTCGTTCACCCAGTGGTCTCGCGAGGATTCGTTTCACAGTACTCCCTCGGTTGTCGTGTTATTAGTTAATACCAAAAATCTTTCCCCTTCTAGAGGTCGAAGTTTCTGTACGATTAGCAATCCCAAACGTACCGTAACTGTTTCCAACCAGGCTATCCCACGAGTTGGTCTTCCTATTGGTTGATCCCAACCTGGTCTGAGTTTAAATTGTGACCAGAACTTGCCGACGATGACACCTATTCCAAAAGAGGTGGAAGCGTTGCCTACCCAACCTATATTGTTGATCAATCTGGTTTTCAGCAGTAATCGATTCGGGAAAGAGTTTAATGCGTTCTGCCATACTGCAAGATCTCCCCTGACTAGAGGAGGCATCTTCCGCTTAGCTTCATGTTTGACCCATTCGCATTTCCATCTAAAACCGGATCGTATATAGCAGCGTAGCTGCGGGGCGATGTACGAGACGTGGCTTAGCCTGCCGTACATTTTTTCTACCTCTTTAAAAGTGTAATCTACTTTTGCTAGGAAGGTTTCAAGTTGGTCTTGTCGTTCCTTCAGCTTCTTTGGAGGTAGGCAGACGGTCTTCTTGTCAACATTCCAGAGGAAACCTATATACTTCTGCTCATTGCTAAAGTGTGTAAATTTGGTTTCGTTAGTTTTTACGCCTAGAGTAGTACTATACGCTACTACTTCATTCATGCTGAGGGGGCTTGACTTCTCCTTGATTACCAAGTTGTCGTCCACCCAGCGGAAAACTTTATTCAGACCAAATTCTAGCTTGACTAGCTCCTTCCATGCGTCTGCTGGGCCTCCAAAGCTGCCGCAGCCTGCGACTCCACCGAAGGAGATGCAAAGGTCTATGTAAAGTAAGCCGTTGAAGTCTTGAATGAGTAAAAACGGCCATTGGCTCGGGTGAGTTCCAATTTGTCTGTAGGCTTTTAGCCAGTCGAAAAGGGCTATCTGTAAAGGGACGGAAGCGTTTGCTATATGTAATGCTACTTTTTCGAAATTATCCCACGTTGTTTTAAAGTCGTCTTTGTTGACAAAGGAGTTGACGCTGGGAATGTGAGGGTGGTGTTTTGGAAAGGATAGGTCGTTGATTGGGCGGAATGAGCCGTCGCCGTTTGTTACCGCTCCTAGAGGGCTAGACCGAAAGAATCTGTAACGAGATGATATCTCTTCCTTTGTGTAAGGACCGTACATTCGACCTGCCTCTACTTCTTGACGTAAGTTCTTTTCTATATCTTCTCTAGCTGAGAGTGCTGACTGGTGGTTAGGGGGGCAGAAAAAGGGGAGACCTTCGATCGAGTGGTCAGGGATCCCTTGGTCGAAACCTTCTTTGAAGCCATCAATGATAAATTGTAGTCTTGGTAGGAGGTGGTGTTTTCCTAGCGCTTTCCTCCACGCGTGTATCTTCATGTCGCATTTGGCACCCTTAGGCCAGGTGGGTTGTTTCTTAGTCTGTGGGATGTTAGGCTCGTTGGCAGGTTTTACAATGTCGTTCTCGGACGGTGTTCTTCGTGTGCTAATGCAGGGTCAACAAGGTTGGCACGTAAGTTTATCAATATAAACACGAAAACATTGCAAAAAACATAGACATCGGACTTCAACAAATTGGAAATAAAAGGGGCTACATGTGATAAAAGGGAAAATGCTCATGATAACAACAGGTGTGTGTAAAAGATAGGGAAAGGAGGAACAAAATTAGAAACGGAACAGTTTGGGACTAAAGTCTATGAGCTTCCATGCGTGGAACAAAATTTATGCGGGGTTTCGGAGACATTCAGGTTACAGAGGAAATTTCGGTGTGTTGAGCTCGTGGTAAAAGTAGGAAAAATTTGGGTAGTTGTTTAAGACCTATGATCAGCTTACGTGTTGTTTCTAGGGTTATGAAAACCTCCTCTTCCTCCGCGCCAACCTCCTCTACCTCCCCTGTTTGGAAATCTGTTGGCTGCCATAGGAGCTGGGGGGGGTAAAGGGTGTTGATTTGGATACAACGTCGGGTTGGGTGGAAGTACGTGTTGTACTGGTCGTGGTGCATTCTGGGAGGGAGCTTGTCGAGATGTTGGTTGTTGGGTCGTGTTGTGGCCACCACGTCGACCCCGTTTTCTCTTTAGAGACTGAGATTCTGGATTAGATCCTGCGTGGCCTCCAGTGCCGGATGATTGTTGATGGGTGGTGTTTTCGTAGAGGCCTGTCTCTGGGTTACGATTTTCAAACCTGCCGCCTCTTGCGTATGGGTTGATGTCACCGCAGTTAGCTTTGCCGGCACGGAGGGATTTATCTTTCGCTTGGTTCTCGTACTGTAACACCCGGGATCCGATATCTTTCATCCTGGTTTTTCCTTCTCGTTTGACGAAGATTTGTGCTCTACAGAGAATGTCGTAGCGTAGTGCTGTCATCCAACACTCGGTGGATCGTTTGATTGCCTTCACATTCTTGATGTGCAGTTTCAATCGTTTGGCTAGGGGTTTCTGATTGTAGTAGCCAGAGAGGTATCGTCGGAACAGACTCATGTTTTCGGACCATTCGCCGAAAGTTAAACGATACTGTGAAGGTGCGTCAAAGCCTTTGTTCGTCTTATTCTTGGAGGATGAGGAGTGATGGTTACGGTTATGTTCGTCCTTGTCTGCTCTAGCGAAGTTTTGATCGAAAACTGTCAGGGGGATTGATGTATTAAGATCTGACATCTGATCTCCCCAGTAAGGCTTCGAATAGGATTTAAGGAGGGTAATGGTAAGAAATTAAGATAAGTTTCTAAATTATGTTTGTAATTTTCATGAGCTGCTTACCTGCAAAGGTACGAGGTCACCAGTTGGTACTGATCCTATGTCAATTTCTATTACACCTTTACTCTTTGACTTTTTCGAAGATTTCTTCTTATCTTTCTTATTCTTGCCTCTCTTGTTCTTCGACTTTTTGGTCTTCTCTTTCCCTTTTGATGTTTTCTTGGATTTCGATTTCTTCTGCTTGGCTGCTTTCTTTTTCTTAGCGCCTACAGGAAATAATCCGAACTTTTTGTTAGAATACTCTACTTGATGTGTAATCAAAGTGGCATTTTGAGATAAGGTGGAGGATCAGGAGAAGCCAATAACAAGATAGAGTGAGATTTAAGAGAATAGGTAGTAAATGCAATTTGCTTTGGGAAGAATAGCATTTCTGTAAGGGTGATGTTAACTGGCTTGGATATCTATGCGAGATGCTCGAGCATGATGTGGGGAAATTTAGGGGGGATTTCTCATGTGTTATTGAAGAAATGGTTTCTGCACGAGCGATTTACTCGGAGGTATTAACGATTTGGAATTTGGGGTAGGTAAGGTTAAGAGTGTAGAGTAGGATGTAGGGGGGGTAGAATGGAAGGCGTGATATAGTTTCATCTTGTGTCACTTATGTCTTCTCTTATCTTTATCTTCTTTATCATCATTGTCAGAGGAGGAATCAGAGGCATCGCTTGAGTCTGACGAGTCTGAGTCAGAAGTTGAATCAGAAGATGAGGATGATAAGTCAGAGGATGTTGATTCAGAGGAGTCCGAGGAACTTGAGGATTTTGAATTGCTATCTGAGTCTGAGGAGTCTGACGGGGAGTTATCTTCATCGGTCAGATTGTGCAAAGTCGTTATTTTGAACTTCTCTGGTTGATTGTAGTGGTCGGAAGCATCATCTTGGGGTCGTCGTCAGCATTTGTTGTTCCTTCGTCAGGTGCTTCAGAGTCTGATCCG